TTGATTTTCAAATACTGAACCATCCCTGCATACCAGGGATAAATCCCACTTGGTCTGGGTGAATGATCTTTTTGATGTGTAGTTGGATTCGGTTTGCCAGGATTTTGTTGAGTATTTTTGCATCTATGTTCATCAGGGAGATAGGTCTATAGTTTTCTTTCTCTGTTGTGTCTTTTCCAGGCTTAGGAATTAAGGTGATATTGGCTTCGTAGAGAGTTTGGGAGGATTCCCTCCCTTTCAATTGTTTTGAATAATCTAAGAAGAACTGGGGTTAGTTGTTCTTTAAATGTCTGGTAGAATTCAGCAGTGAAGCCATCTGGTCCTGGGATCTTCTTTTTCTGTAGTGCGTCTATTACTGACTCAATTTCTTCCATGGTTATGGGTCTGCTTAGGTTTTCTATATCTTCACGGCTCAGTTTAGGAAGGTTGTATGTGTCTAGGAATCTATCCATTTCTTCCAGGTTCCCCAATTTGTTAGCATACATCTCTTTGTAATGGTTTCTGATGATTCTTTTTATTTCTGAGGTGTCTGTTGTTACATTTCCATTACCATCTTTAATTTTACAGATTTGGGTCTTCTCTCTCCTTTTTTTGGTTAGTTGGGCCAATGGTGTGTCTATTTTGTTCATTTTTTCAAAGACCAGCTCTTGGTTTTATTGATCTTTTGTATTGTTATTTTGGTTTCAATTCTGTTTATTTCTTCTCTAATCTTTAGCATTTCTTTTCTTCTGCTGGGTTTGAATTTGATTTGCTGCTGTTTTTCTAAATCCTTTAGGTGCATGGAGAGGTCATTTGTTTGATTCTTTTCCAGTTTCTTGATGTAGCCACCAACTGCTATAAACTTTCCTCTTAGCACTGCTTTTGCTGTATCCCACAAGTTTTGATAGGTTGTGTTGTCATTTTCATTTGTTTCTAGAAATCTTTTGATTTCTTCTATGAACCATTGTTCATCAAAATGTCCATTCTCCCAAAAGCAATTTACAGGTTCAATGCAATACCAATCAAAATACCAAAGTCATTCTTCACAGACCTAGAAAAAATGATGCTGAAATTCATATGGAGAAACAGGAGACCGCGAATAGCTAAAGCAATCCTTTACAATAAAAACAAAACCGGAGGCATCACAATTCCAGACTTCAAGATACACTACAGGGCAGTTATAATTAAAACAGCCTGGTACTGGTACAAAAACAGATGGATAGAACAATGGAACAGAACAGAAACCAGAAATCAATCCAAAGATCTACAGCCAACTCATCTTTGACAAAAGAGCTAAAACCAACCCCTGGAACAGGGACAGCCTCTTCAACAAATGGTGCTGGGAAAACTGGATTCCACACGTCAAAGTATGAAACAAGACCCCTATCTTACACCATATACAAAAATCCACTCAACATGGATCAAAGATCTAGATATACGCCACAACACCATAAAATTAATTGAGAGCATAGGGAAAACCCTTCAAGACATTGGAACAGGCAAAGAATTCCTGGAGAAGATCCTAGAGGCATGGGTAGTCAAGCTAAAATAAACAAATGGGATTGCCTAAATTGAGAAGTTTCTTTACAGCAAAAGAAATAGTCAGGAAACTGAAGAGGCAACCAACAGAATGGGAGAAACTATTTGCAAACTACACAACTGATAAATGATTAACAACTAGAATCTATAAAATGATCAAGACACTCCACAGCAACAAAACAAACAACCAATAAAAAGATGGGCAAAGGACCTTAACAGGCATTTTTCAAAAGAGGAAATCCAAAGGGCCAACATGAAAAACTGCTCAGGATCCCTAGCCATCAGGGAAATGCAAATCAAAACCACAATGAGGTTTCACCTCACCCCAGTTAGAATGACTTACATACAGAAATCAACTAACAACAGATGCTGGCGAGGATGTGGGGAAAAAGGCTCACTAATCCACTGTTGGTGGGAATGCAAACTGGTAAAGCCACTATGGAAGACAGTTTGGAGAGTCCTCAGAAACCTGAATATAGCCCTAACACATGACCCAGCCATCCACTCCTTGGAATTTACCCAAAGGGAATTAAACTGGAAAAAAAAAGGGCTGTCTGCACCTCAATGTTTATTGCAGCTCAATTCACAATAGCTAAGACACGGAATCAACCTAAATGCCTATCAACAGATGACTGGATAAAAAAATTATGGGATATGTACTCGATAGAATACTATACAGCAGTAAAAAAAAATGAAATCTGGTCATTTGCAACAAAATGGAGGAATCTGGAAAATATCATACTGAGTGAATTAAGGCAGTCCAAAAGGGACAAATATTATATGTTCTCCCTGATCAATGACAACTAACTGAGCACCTAAAATGAAACCCGTTGAAGTGAAATGGACACTGTGGGAAACAATGAGTAGATCAGCACTTGTCCTGACTGTTGAGGAACAACTTACTATTTTATTCCTTTTAGTATTTTGTTGTTGTTGTTGTTGTTTTGTTCTACTTAATACCATTGGTTGAACTCTGTAATTAATACACAAATATTCTTAGGCATTTAAAATTAACTGAAAAGTGATCTTTGTTAAATATAAGAGTGGGAATGAGAGAGGGAGGAGATATACAGTTTGGCACATGCTCACTCGGACTTACCTCCAATAGTAGAACTAGAAATGTGCCCGGGGATTCCAATTCAATCCCATCAAGGAGGCATGTACCAATGCCATCTCACTTGTTAAAGTGATCAGTTTAAGTACATAACTGATCAAAAAGATAGGTTAAGTGTCAAAGAGATTTCACAAATAAGACCAGTGTCTGCAAATAATGAAGGATAGAATTAAAAGGGAGAGAGTGATCCTATGGGGTAAGCAGGATACACAGCAGACTCATAGAATAGCAAATGCCCTAAACAGCACTCGGGCCTCAGAATCAACCCTTGGAGCATTCAGATTTGATTAAAAGGCCCATGATAGTCTCACAGACATGGAAAGCCAAGACACTGTGGCAAAAATGACCTGAATGAGATCCCAGCAGAAAGAACGGGCCATCAAACAAGGAGGCACCTTTCTCTGAAGGGAGGAAGGAACCTCCGCTGTGATATGGCCTTGACTAAATAAGATCAGAGTTGGTGAACTCAGGAGGCTTCCATAGCCTTGATAGCTCAGGGCAAGAGCCTCAAGTGATTACTGACATCATAAATAAGAGTGTCAATTGTTAAATCAACAATGGGAGTCACTGTGCACCTGCTCCCCACATAGGATCTCTGTGTTGTACTATGAGAATTAATGGTAAAACTACTAGTCGAACAGTACTCTATATCTTGTGCATTGTGTGGGTGCAGTCTGTTGAAATCTTTACTTAGTATATACTAAGTTGATCATTTGTATATAAAGATAATTGAAAATGAATCTTGATGAAGAGTGGGATGGGAGAGGGAGTGGGAGATGGGATGGTTGCAGGTGGGAGGGAGGTTATGGGGGGAAAAGCCACTATAATCCAAAAGTTGTACTTTGTAAATTTATATTTATTAAATTTAAAAATTTTTTAAAAATTCTGATTGGGAGAATCAGAAATGGTGTCACAGAGGCAGCAAAGTTTATCCTGAAAAAGTTAAGTAACAATGACCAATTAATATACAAGGGCATTCTAGTCAAACACATATATATACACACATATATTATAAACATACACACACACATATATATAAACATACACATGGATAGACATACATGCACAAGAACACAAAATAAGGTAAAGCTGTATGGAAGGCATTTATCAAATTAAAGACTGAAATATAGAAAATAAAGGCATGGATGGTTCCTCTTTGTTCCTTTCCTACTTTTGTTTTCCACCACCCTCATAGGAGAAGAGATTATTAAGAAAGAAAGGAGGAGGAAAAGAATTGGAGAAAAAAATGAGTGAGCAATAGGAATAATAGGAATAGGAATATTTTATGAAGCAATTTCATAAAATTAGAATTGTACTGGATAAACAGCTAGTTACAATAACTTCTCTTAAAAACAACAGGGTAACAGAGTTTAAAAATAAAAATATGAGAGCTGGTGTTGTGGCACAGCAGGTTAAGCTGCTGCTTCCAAAGCTGGCATCCCATATAGAAGCCAGCTGGAATCATGGCTGCTCCACTTCCAATCTAGGTCGTGCTAATGAGTCTGGAAAAGCAGCAGAAGATGGCCCAAGTGCTTGGGCCCCTGCCACCCATGTGGGAGACCCAGAAAAAGCTCCTGGCCATTGTGGCCATTTGGAGAGTTAACCAGCAGATGGAAGATCTCTCTCTCTCTCCCTTTCTGTCTCTGTTAACTTTGCCTTTCAAATAAATAAAATAACAAAAAACAATGGATATCCTATCACTCAATGATTCCATTTCCAGGACTCTTCTCTAAGTAACAAAACAGTGCAAAAACAGTGTTGACTGCAGCATTGTTACTGATGGTGAAACACTCGAAATGTCCACCAATAGGGACTGGATAAATACACTGTGGTTTAATCTGTACACTAAAATACTATACAACAATTAAAGCAATAAGCTTATATATATTAACATGCAAAGAATTCAAGAACATAATCCTGATAAAGGAAGTTGATCAAAGACACTTTTTAAAAAATCATATATTGCCCATCATTTTACACACACTAAACTCAAGAGTAGTCACCTCCAGGAAAGGAAGTAATGAGCCTGGGAAAACAAATGCAGTGACTTCAACTCATCTATAGGACATGCTGTTTCTTTTCATGCTTTACACACATACACACACCTGAATCAAATATTACATGTAAATTCTCAGAGATGATGTACAGGATTTTATTACATCTTCTCACTTTGTGACCCCCAGCAAGTTATCTGACCTTCACCTTGCTTTTGTTACATCATCTATAAAATGGGAGTAACAAAATAGCATTCTTAACAGGTTAGGAGTATTAAAAAAAGGTACTTAACATAGTTTCTGGCTCAAAGTAAGCACCCAAAAGTAACTGTAATGACAGACTAATTTATTATTGTGATTCTAAAACTACATACCTGGTGGAGGGATCATCATCCTCCGGTCCTGTTCCCAGGGAGGTGACAGAGACCCAGTGTCAGAAGGTGCTCTGTGAGGATCAGGGAACCTGTCACAGCTTGATTCTCCTCTCTCATTGGTAACCAGAGGGTCCAGAGGATTCTCTGGGCCTCTTGAGCCTAAATAAAGGGAAAACACACAATTTGTTTAATCTCAAAAAATTTTATAAGGCCTGTCATCAAATAAAATCTAGACACTATTTAAAGAGTGAAACCAAATGGATTCCAATAAAGTTTCCAGTTAAAACACAGACTATAATTCAACCCTACCACAGCCATTTCTAGGACAAGAGAAAAATAACATTGCCATGTATATAAACCCTGGCCTTTTAAAATTCATTTTAGAAATGAATTTCACATCATTTCATCATCATTTCACACATAAAGTCAGTGGAAAAATCATTCATTATAAATACCACATCTGAAAAATACGGGTGTAGGAAGTAAAATGCAAAGTAAAGATGTAACAAGGTAATTATAAAATGAGGGTTTCACTGCTTTAACTAATGTATCAGTCTTCAAGATGAGCATGATTCCTTTAAAATAATCATCTTAGGAGCAATCTATCTATTTTAATAACTACACTACTACTCAAAGTACCATTTAGAACAACTCTTTTGGAATGTATTCAGATTAACAGTTTGCAAAAAATTCCATCTTAAATTTGTAACATGACTCACTACTTCTGCCCAAAAAATGATTTTAAGCAGGCTGGCTAGAAACTATACCTATCAGATAAATATGGCTTTGAATAGTTTTTAGTAATTTCTAAATATCAAATTCACATTCAAAAAGAGAACTCACAAGTTCTTAAATAAGAACTTCAAAAACAATAGCACGGTTGAAATAAACACTTTAAAGATAACATTCATTTGGGTAAAAAAAAAATCTGGTATGATTACATTTACAATTGGGGGAATCATTTTAAACTTCCCTTCTTAAGATCATAGAAAGGACAGCATTTAAATTTAAAGTACATATTAAAAAATAAAAATAACAGTAAAATAAATCCATATTCAAGTAAAATGTAAAGAATATAAAAATATTTTCTATAATTCAATAACAGAATATATTAAACTTCATTTGTCTGTCAAATTATATTGTCCTCAAAATTATATAGCCCAGGCCAACCCTCTGGCATAACAGGTAAAGAAAGCCGCCACTGGCATCCTACATGGGTGCCAGTTTGAGTCTTGGCTGTTCTACTTCGATCCAGCTCCCTGCTAATGTGCCTGGGAAAGCAGCATAAGATAACCCAAGTGATTGGGCCCCAGCACCCACATGGGAGACCTGGAAGAAGCTCCTGGCTCCTGGCTTTGGATGGGCCCGCTGCCAGCCACTGCGGCCATTTGGGGAGTGAAACAGTAGATGAGGCCGGCGCCGTGGCTCACTAGGCTAATCCTCTGCCTTGCGGCGCTGGCACACCGGGTTCTAGTCCCGGTCGGGGCGCCAGATTCTGTCCCGGTTGCCCCTCTTCCAGGCCAGCTCTCTGCTGTGGCCAGGGAGTGCAGTGGAGGAGCCCTGCACCCCATGGGAGACCAGGAGAAGCACCTGGCTCCTGCCATCGGATCAGCGCGGTGCGCCAGCTGCAGCGGCCATTGGAGGGTGAACCAACGGCAAAGGAAGACCTTTCTCTCTGTCTCTCTCTCTCACTGTCCACTCTGCCTGTCAAAAAAAAAAAAAACAAAACAGTAGATGAAAGAGTTCGCTCTCTCGCTCTCTCTCTTTCTGCCTTTTAAATAAGTAAATAAATCTTTTAAAAACATTTTAATACCCAAAAAACAAGTTTTATTCTTTTCAATGAACAGCTTTAAAATTTTTTTCAACGGAAGTCTCACATTGTTTCCTCTATTTCAGCACCTAAGAGATCAAATTAATTTGCCCTTTTCTTGGTTAACTTGTACAAAACAGTATAAGCATCCTTTTTTTTTTAACATGTGGTAATCTTTTTAAAGAAATTTCCATATACTCCCTTTCATAAAGTCAGGGATGTCAACCTTGTCCTATGGCAGTATTCTCTATTAAATTGCCCAAATATCTCTTCCTAAATTGTTCATTTTTCTAATTAGCTCATTAGAAGAACAAAACTGGGAAAGCTGAAAATGTGCAAGAGTCCATTATTCTGAGTTCACCTGGAGTGAAGCACAGAGTTTTAAAGGAGAGACTCAAAGGATTTCTCCTGATCGCTTACTCAGAGCACCAACTGACTACAAGGTGAAAATTGCAAGCCTGAAGATGCTAACAGTTAACATTTTTCATTCAAATCAAAAGTTACACACAGTTTACTCTAAAAAGAAATTGCTTTCCTTATACTCAATCTTAACCTATGATGGTATTTCAAACATTTCATGGAAAAATGAAAAAATTTTAAATGCATGATTTCTTCGTAACATGTATGTCCCGTTAACATTTTGAAGACTCTGAGGATCTCATATAAACTTTCATATTTAAAAATAATAAAAAGAAGCAAAAGGAAGAGCATTCTTCATCCTTCTTTGGCAGATCATACAAACTTTCAAAAGCTAAAACAACCCTTTTAAGACCTACTGAAAACTTACCTAGAACTTCTGTAATGTTTTATCAAATAGTAAAACACCTTTGCAAATAATCTAAACACACTTTGTCTTGAAAGCAATTAAATAGGAGAAGAAAGTTAAAAATTTAAATAGGAGAGGAGAAATCAAAGGTAATTTTTACTCTTATTCCAAATATTGAATTGACTACAAGCAATCCTTGACTTATATAATTCAACTTCCAATGATTCATATTTGCAGTTTAGCCAATTATATCCTAATGTAAAGGGCACTATTTTTCAAGACTGCTAGTTGCTACCATTTGTGCTATATGAAGTTAACATAGTATTCATCAGCATTCTTTTTTAAGTGAAATGGTCTTGGACTATGGACCCTACGTGCAGGCAGACTGCAAGGTGGGAAGGACCGGTTCTATGTGGAGCAAACTGAGGACGGATAAAGATGATATAAACAGAAAATGGGAAAAGGGAGAACATCTCAAGACCATAAAGTAGAAAACTGATTTTCACATATTCTTCTAAAGCAGTTCCAAAGGAGGAGATGCAAAAATATTTAGAATGGCAGCTTCAACAGGTACATTCAAAGACTCCCAAGAAGAATCTTAAGACGAGTAACATCAATTTGAGTGTATGAGTTTTGGTATGATGGATTTAGCTTGGTGCTTTTATTTTCTCCCATTACTTCATGTTCCTACCTCAGATTTAATCTGCTAAAAGCACTGAATAAAAGAGTGGAGACATTTCAATGGTGAAGAATGCCATCACTTCTTGTATAACATAGACTTGGGTCTGAAAATCTAAGACTTAGATTTCGAAATAAATCTGCAACTTTGCATTTTCTCACATATCAAAGAAAAACTTTACAGCCACTGAACAAGTGAAGAAAGTATGGTACAAAATCAAAAGAAGAAAACTCCAGGCACAAAGTTTTCAAAGGCAGTAGAGCCTATGTAACAACAGCATGATGCTGCAAAGGAAATGCAGAAAAACAAAATCTACTGCTTAAGCTTCAGGTAGTTATAGAAATTTGAGCAAACAATTATGGGTTGGTTTTCAAAGTATTAAATGATTTAGGTCCCAAAACTCTGCCTCCTTAATTCCTTTACTCTTAAAAAAGTTCTTTCACTTTCTGCTTTTCTACAAAAAGTCATAACTGCAATGTGAACAAAGATTTTTAAAATTCTATATCCTAATAATGGCTCATCAAAAAACAATTTTGCTAGATTATTCTGTTATCATGTTATGTATTCTTCTAACGTTTTATATTATGTAGTGTAATACAATGCTTTTAAAAAGCAAAAAATTGGTCCAAAAATATATACATTAAGTCTTTGATCAAAATGTAATGTAGTATAATCTCTAAGAGAAATATATATACACTTGATGTCATAGAGCTCCTTTTCCACAAGTAACTTGCAATAAGTACAAGGAATGCCTGTATTTTCCAAATGTTTATTTTATAGATCATTTTAAAGTTGAGATGAAAAGATAAAGGAAGAAATTTAGAATAATAAAGATGTTTAAACAATATACCTCTTCCTCCTCCCCCTGGAAGCAAAGGTGAGAGTCTGAGTGGACCCTCCAACAAAGTTGGAGGGGAGAGAAAAGCTCTCGTTTCGGATGAAGGCCGACCCAATGGTGAGGGACCATAAGGGGAATGCTCTGGAATAATTAAAACAGCATATTTAATTTCATAGTTCCATTTAGCTACACTAGAAAGTTAGAATCCCATTTCAACAATTACCATCAGGTCATCCTGCTGACTTAAATAAGTTCAATCCAGGCTCTGACCACTAATTATATCTTTGTTTTGCTATTTTTGCTATTATAGAAGTAAATATGGAGCCTGGTGGATTTTTTGTTTTCTTTTTAATTTTTTAATAATATAAAGAGAAAAGATTTTATGTATTCCATAGGTACAGTTTCAAGAAGACAACCACATTTTCCTGAGCCTGGTGTTTTTAACGTGTGTCTACCAAATAGAAATTTTGGTTAATAAAAACTTTATTTGCTTAATCTTAGTAATTAGTATATTTAAGTAATCAGACAGATTAAGCAAAGATATTCTTGATATATTTTGGAGTTACAGAAAGATTCAGAAGGCATGAAGTTTGTTTGGTTTTGTTTTGTTTTTAATGGCAATATGCTTCCAGATATTTCAGCTGATGAGGGTTGCAACATGGGTCAGATATACTGTGTTATTTGAGTAAAACTCAGATTTTGAATACTAGAAAAATGCAAAAAATATTCTAAAGCATCAGAAATTACTTTTGATTCATGAGTGAATAGTCAGTTCATATATACTAATTCATCAATTTATCTGCAATACAACCAAGAGCTCTATCATTTTACAAATTACTCCCAAACAATGGTTATCCTTCTAAAGTTCAAAAACTAACAACAAAAATCAAACAAACTTAAATACCACCAAAATAACAGTTTAAACATATTAAATTTTACTGTATGTGGCTGATATAATATCCAAATCTGTTACAACAGAAAATCAAAATATTGTTTATCCTCCCTATGACTTTTGCAATAGGTTCAGATAAAAATTTCTTATTGTACAGTTTCCCATTTCAACTTTGTTACTACTTCAAATTTGTAGTAATCTGATGATTTTAAAATGTAGACACATACTAATTTTAATGAATCTTAACTCCCAAAAGTGGTTTTTATTATAAGTTTCTTAAAAGGTTATTAAAATGGGATTCTACCTAAATATCAATTTATTTTCACTGCCTCGGAAATGCAGCTCTATTTCAACCCAAAATTATTTGGAAAAAATTTATTTTTTAAAAAGTTTGAGATCATTAAAGATGCTAACTCAATAATGAATGGACAAGAAATATAAAATATATCTTACAAGAATGTTATTCCCTTGGATGTAATTAAAGCAATCAAAACTCAGATTTTTTTGTCACCTTTTAAATAATTAAAAACCAACTGTTTTAATTCTCATTTTTATAATTCAAGCAAATTTCAAAATATAGTTAATAAACAATCTAATGCTATTTCATTTAAGTACTCCTTGTTCATTCATTTTCTCAAAAAAAAATAATTAGTCCTTTACTAATATGCCAAGTGCTTGGCTTTTAAAGGAAGTCAAGATACTAAACATTTATTACCTTACAAAATCCCACTGAGAAAGGAAGGCAGCAATAATTTTCATTATTGCTAAGGAAACAAAACCCAAAGGACTTTGTAGGAGAGCTGAGAACAGAATCTTTCTTGGCTGCAAAATCTAAAATATTTCTAAATAACTGTGTTAATTTATACTAATATAAATTGTATGTGCAGTATATATAGATAAAGTTATAATATGTATTTTAAATGAGGGGTTAAGAAAAACAGACTACCTCTGCCAAAGGCTGTATTTGGAACATCAAGTGCATAAGGATCTTTTTCTAAAAGTTCAAATTTAAACTCTGTGTCAGTTAATCTGCAAATAAAGAACAAACATCTCTAAGTTACTTGTCCAAGAGAAACCACCCACATTTCAAGAAAAATGCCACTGGTATAAACAAGCTACTCTCACTATCTCAACATCTTCATGGAAGAAACAGATCTAGAAGTACTCTGATCAAAACACCTTTCTGTATCTCCCATTACTTATTCTGGGGTTGCCAATTTCTTGCTGCCTAGGGAGAGTGATGTTCTCTTGAAGCCGGAATTGCTATGTTTCTTCTTCAAACCGAAACTACATTGAGTCCTAAACCACAAAAGCCTAATCATTGAAATGAAGAGCACGGCAGTGTCAACCTGTTCAAGTCCCTCGTCTTGACATCGGGTTTAAATGATTTGTTAAAAAATGACAAGTGCCAAGATCAAAACACAAGGTTCATGGTTCTGAGAAATGTAGGCTTTTCATCATAATGAGACCCAACTGATTTCAATTACAATATAAAAGCAGAAATTATATTAACTCATCCTACTATTTTACTACTAAACTTATCTTTAAAATGTGACATTGTAAAAGAATCTTATTTCTAGTTCTTGATCATCTGACCTGAAATAGAACATTTAATCAGCTGATTTTGATTTCTTAGAGTAAAAAAGACTAGCAAGAGGACTTAAACTAATATTGAATAATGCCAACAGCACATTCTGGCAAGAAATCAAAGCAATCTGGCAAGACTACGCCCATTCTCACAATTACTGTCCCCTTCTACTGTACACTGCAGACTTCTATTCTCCCTTTCACTTTGTTGTTATTAAACAATGCCATCAGTACAACAAAACTGGGAGATGGATCATCAACCTGAGTTCCTAAGAGCATGACTATGTCAGAAGTTTATCCCTTCCCTTTCTATTCCTTTTTCCACCCTTCACCTACTCTGGTTTGAAAAACTTAAAATTCTACAGAAAAATCTGTGAAATTTTCCTCAAAGTAATAAGTCAGTGACCTAGGTACTTCAAATCAACAAAAAAAAGTAATAAATATTTCACAATGAAATATGCTAAATTCACTGTGAGCTTCCTTATTTATCCTTTCAAAATTATTACCTAATTAATAAAATAAAAATAACTAACATCAAGTTTTTAAAGTTAAAGATACTTACTTTTGCCTATTATAAGCATTTTCTTTCCTTAAATCATTGAGGTTTCTTTCAGCAGTTCGAGCTGCCAACTTAAAGATAATAACATATAAAATTTAAATGAAAAATAAGCATAAACATCACAGTGATAGTATACAAGTATCACAGTCACTTAAGTATCCATTTTAATAAAATCTAAGTAAAACCTTTTAAATTTAAGGAATTATTGAAAAAGGAAATGAGTTTCAGGTAAGCAGATGACATAAGTTTGTAAGACTGGAGTTCAACTGTGTATTTGCCAATGAATGCTGCTATCTAGATGTGAAATCAAGGATTATTTGAATATCCAATATTCTAAGAGCTATGTGAGAGGATGTAAGCGTAAGCCAATGAAAATAGAGACTCAGAGTTATGCATGGCAACTTAGGCTATTTTCAACAAGGCAATCATCTCTGGAGAAAAATCACTATAATTCTGAGAAACCATAAAAGTTGAAAATAGTTTCACAGCATGCCAGGAAAAACCATTTTTTAAAATAACAGCATATAATCAGTGCATGTTGCATTTCCATTAAGTATACAGCATTATATAAATCATCACACTTGTCTGATATTTTTATTTAATAAAAGACTGAAAATCAGAGTATATGTTATAGAGAACAAAGTTTATACAACATGATAAATATCAAGAAATGCAATCACCTCAAACAGTCAAGTGGAAAGGTTAAACGCATTCTGTGGACTCTGCAGAATAGATGCAGCAGTTTTATGGCACATCAGACTGGCCAAATTAACACAATCCACTAGGTCTAGCATACAAAGGAAGGTAAAGTCGCTTAGTCTTTAATGTTTTACAAGTATAAGGAACTCTGCTTAGTATATAACTTTTTACAAATCAAAGGAATTATACTATCAAATTACATTCACCTAAAACTGAACTACAAGGTAGAAAGGTGCTTGGCCAAAGAATTACATAAATATTCATGAAAAGCATAGCCTAAATTTTAGCCCTTGCTATCAAAAAAGACTATATGTATAAATCTTCTTCCAGTGTATAATCATGTAATCAATTTTTTACTAAAAAAAAAAAATTACCAAAAGCAATTTGTTAGTAAAATAAACCAATTATTTAACTATTAACAATGCAGTACCAGAATTATTTCTCAATGTTTTCTTTATATATATATATATATATTTTTTTTTATTTGAGAGGTAGAGTTATAGACAATGAGAGAGAGAGAAAGGTCTTCCTTCCATTGGTTCACTCCCCAAATAGCCGCTACAGCCAGCACTGCGCCGATCCAAAGCCAGGAGCCAGGTGCTTCCTCCTGGTCTCCCATGCAGGTATAGGGGCTCAAGCACTAGGGCCATCCTCCACTGCCTTCCTGGACCACAGCAGACAGCTGGACTGGAAGAGGAGCAAACAAGACTAGAACCCGGTGTCCATATGGGATGCCAGCACCGCAGGCAGAGGATTAACCAAGTGAGCCATTGCGCCAGGCCCTCTCAATGTTTTCTACAATTAATGTAACACATTTGTTTGTTAAGTGTAAGGCACAAAAATATCACAGGTAATAAGTTATTACTTAAAGATATCAAATATATACTACCAAAAATAAATATATACAAAACTTATGGCAAATACTTAACTTTTTTTTATTCATTTTATTTGAAAGACAAAGAGACAGAGAGAGATCTTCTACCCACTAGTCACTCCTCAAACGCCAAAACAGCCAGAGCAAAACCAGGCCAAAGAGGAGCCCAGGATTCGATCTAGGTCACCTACCTGGTGGCAAGGACCCAAGCACTTGAGCCATCATCTCCTGTCTCGCAGGGTACACATTAGCAGGAAGCTAAATGAGAAGCAGAGGAGCTGGAACTCAAACCAGGGGCCCTAATATAGGACCAAGTATCCCAAATAGCATCTTTACTGCTACTGCTCTAAACTGTCCACCCCAATTTAGAGACGTTGGCTTGTTCCCAAAGCTTAAGTCAAACTGTGATTTCAGTCAATGACTATACTATACTCTAAAATGCTGTATAAAAATATTGAACACTCATAATAGCAAAGCAATTCACAATACACAAAGCATTCTGTAAAGAAATGAAAGAAACAGTCTCTGTCTGACAGAACTTAAAAATCTCGTAGTAAGGACAAATAAAGATGATCACAGAGTAAGGGCTGGCATTTGGCCTTGCAGTTATGCTGCCAGTTAAGAAACCTTGTTCCAGGGCCGGCGCCGTGGCTCACTTGGTTAATCCTCTGCCTGCAGCAGCGGCATCCCATATAGGCACCAGGTTCTAGTCCCAGTTGCTTCTCTTCCAGTCCATCTTTCTGCTGTGGCCCGGGAAGGCAGTGGAGGATGGCCCAAGTGCTTGGGCGCCTGCACCCGCATGGGAGACCAGGAGGAGGCACCTGGCTCCTGGCTTCGGACTGGCGCAGCACAAGTCATAGCAGCCATTTGGGGAGTGAACCAACAGAAGGCAGACCTTTCTCTATATCTCACTGTCTATAACTCTACCTGTCAAATAAATTAAAAAAAAAAAAAAAAAAAAGACTGTCTTTAAAAAAAAAAAAAAAAGAAACCTTGTCCCACATCAGAGTACTTGGGTTCAACTCCTGGCTCCACCTCCTAATTCCAATTCAAACCCTAAGAGGCAGCAATAATGGCATAAGCACTTGGTTTCCTGCCACCCACATGGGAGGACTAGATTGAGTTCCCAGCTCTCAGTGTCAACCCAGCCCAGCCCTGATTACTGTAGGTATGTGAGGACTGAACCAGCAGATAGGCACACTCATGTATGAACACATTTCTCTCTCTCTAATAAATTTTTAAAACACATTTTTATATATATACACAATGGAATACCAGTCAGGCATAAAAAAGAATGGAATCTTTTCTTTCAGAACAAAATGTATGCAATTGGAGGCCATTATGCTTAAATAAGCCAGTTCCAAAAAGACAAATATCATGTTTTCTCTGATTTGTAATAATATACAGAATACAAAAAAAAAAGTATATGTGTGAAACTGACATTTTAAGATTTGATTATGGTTTATAACCCTTGTCTATACTCCTGAGGAACAGTGGTTTTTCTACTTACTACCAGTTGAATTGTCTGTTTAGTAGAAGACTATGTTTGTGATTATAAAGTAAATTGAAAGTATGTCATGTAAAAAATAAATGTAAAATAGAAAGGAAGGAGAAAGGGTGAAAGCGAGGGAGGAAGGGAGGGAAGATAGGATAAGAAGTATCACGCTCTTAAAACTGTATATATGGGGCCAGCACTGTGGCGTAACAGGTAAAGCCACTGCCTGCAGAGCCAGCATCCCATTTGGGTGTCAGTTCGAGACCTGGCTGCTCCACTTCTGATCCAGCTCTCTTCTATAGCCTAGGAAAGCAGTAGAGGATGGCCCAAGTCCTTGGGCTCCTGTACCAGTGTGGAAAGACCCAAAAGAAGCTCCTGGCTTCAGAGCGGTGCAGCACCAGCCATTGCAGCCAATTGGGGAGTGAACCAGTGGATGGAAGACCTCTCTTTCTGTCTCTGCCTCTCCTTCTCTCTCTGTGTAACTCTGACTTTCAAATAAATAAATGTCTTTTAAAAATACATAAAATGTGCTCCCTTTATATAAATAAAAAAATTTTAAAACATTTTAAATGACCACAGTAAATAACAATATATTCATTACAGGACATGTAACAAAGCACTATGTAAGTTCAAAGGAAGAAAGGATTAAATCTAGCAAGGTGGAGCAAAGAAATGGTCAATGAAGAAAGTAACATCTGAAATTATAAGGGTAAGAAAGTAGAAACAAACTAAAGGTTTAATAAATGTGAAAGGTCTCAGAAAAGTATCTGTAATATATTAAGTAAAGAAAGCAGGCAATAAATGGTAAAATATAATGACAGTCCTTTTTTTAAGTATAAATATATATATGCTTGTGGTAGGTATTGTGGCACAGCAGACTAATCCACCACTTGGGATACCCATGGCCCATATCAGAGTGCCTAGTTTGAGCTTCAGGTAAAAGAGGCCTGCTAATGTATCTCAGAGGCAGGAAGTGATAGATCCTTGCCACCCACATGGGAGACCTGGATGGAGTTACAGTCTAAAAGTGCTCAATAAAGTAATCAATGAAAGTGATATTGATTACTTTTTTGTGCCTTTCTTCATGATCTGAACTTTTATTGTTGTCATTTTGTACTTCCTTGAGGAAAGAGAAAGACAGAGAGACAGACAGACAGACACAATGAGCTCTCAACAACTGTTTCACTTCCCGAATCCCACAACAGCTAGAACTGGGTCAGGACAAAGTTGGAAGCCAGGAAATCAATCCAGATCTCCCACGTGGGTGGCAGGAACCCAATCGCTTAAACCATCACCACTGCCTGCCAGGGTCTACATTAGCAAAAGGCTGGAGTCAAGAGCTAGAGCTAGGAGTTGAACCAAGACACTGCTGTATGTGATGGAGGCATCCTGTCATCCTAACTACGAAGCCAAACAACTGCTCTGATTTGAACTTTTAATAAGCAAATATTGTTTTTATAAAATCAGAAAACTATCTTTTCACGGAGATGTAAGGGACACATCTTCAGTGTCTTTAAATTTAATGTCATATTTACTGAACAACAAATTCAAGTACAGTAACAGAAAATGTACAAGACTTAGAATCTGAAAGATTAGAAATTCAATCTCCACCCTTCACTCTCTGATCATGTGACCTTGAGCTGTTTTCTCATCTATAAAATCTGCAATTATATCTACAATTATTAACTGGATTAAATGAGTAATTTATGTACAATATTTTTAAATACAGTGCCTAGAACACCTAAGAATTTAATGAATCTCCATCTTTAAAAAATAATCTACATAAGTATTTAGAAAATGGTGAGAAGTGGTGAAGAAAACTAAATCCATCAGCAACCCCAGCTAATTCACTCACAAACCTGCACTCAAACTCTCAAAACCAAAGCATGGGGCCAGCACTGTGGCGTACTGGACTATGCCTCCACCTGCAGAGCCCGCATCTCATATGGGCACCAGTTGGTGTCTTGGCTGCTCCTCTTCCAATCCAGCTCTCTGTCTATGGCCTAGGAAAGCAGTAGAAGATGGCCAAAGTGCTTGGGCCCCTGCACTTGCATGGGAGACCCAAAAGAAGCTCTTGGCTCCTGGATTCAGCTCAGCTCTGGCCATTGGGGCCATTTGGGGATGGAAAACCTCTCTGTCTCTCCCACTGTCTGTCTCTCCACTCTCAAATAAACATATATATTTTTTAAAAATTATTAGAGAGATTGGAGAAACTCTGCAAGATATAGGTACTGGCAAAGACTTCTTGGAAAATACCCCAGAATCACAGGCAGTCAAAGCCAAAATTAACATCTGGGATTGCATCAAATTGAGAAATTTCTGTACTTCAAAAGAAACAGTCAGGAGAGTGAAGAGGCAACCGACAGAATGGGAAAAAATATTCACAAACTATGCAACAGATAAAGGGTTGATAACCAGAATCTACAAAGAAATCAAGAAACTCCACAACATCAAAACAAACAACCTCCTTAAGAGATGGGCCAAGGAACTCAATAGACGTTTTTCAAAAGAGGAAATCCAAATGGCCAACAGACACATGAAAAAATGTTCAAGATCACTAGCAATCAGGGAAATGCAAATCAAAACCACAATGAGGTTTCACCTCACCCCGGTGAGAATGGCTCACATTCAGAAATCTAGCAACAACAGATACTGGAGAGGACGAGGGGAAAAAGGGACACTAACCCACTGTTGGTGGGAATGCAAACTGGTTAAACCACTATGGAAGGCAGTCTGGAGATTCCTCAGAAACCTGAATATAACCCTACCATTCAACCCAGCCTTACCACTCCTTGGAATTTACCCAAAGGAAATTAAATTGGCAAACAAAAAAGCTGTCTGCACCTTAATGTTTATTGCAGCTCAATTCACAATAGCTAAGACCTGGAACCAACCCAAATGCCCATCAACAGTAGACTGGATAAAGAAATTATGGGACATGTACTCTACAGAATACTATACAGCAGTCAAAAAAAATGAAATCCGGTCATTTGCAACAAGATGGAGGAATCTGGAAAACATTATGCTGAGTGAATTAAGCCAGTCCCAAAGGGACAAATATCGTATGTTCTCCCTGATCGGCGACAACTAACTGAGCACCAAAGGGGAAACCTGTTGAAGTGAAATGGACACTATGAGAAACAGTGAATTGATCAGCTCTTGTCCTGACTGTTGATGTACAAGGTAATACTTTATCCATTTTAGTATTTTCTCTTTGTTTTGTTCTAGTACTATTGGTTGAACTCTGTGATTAACACACAATTATTCTTAGGTGTTTAAATTTTAACTGAAAAGTGATCCCTGTTAAATGTAAGAGTGGGAATAAGAGAGGGAGGAGATGTACAATTTGGGACATGCTCAATTGGACTTGCCCCAAATGGTGGAGTTAGAATCATGCCAGGGAATCCCAATACAATCCCATCAAGGTGGCATGTACCAATGCCATCTCACTAGTCCAAGTGATCAATTTCAGTTCACAATTGATCACACTGATAGGTCTAAGAGTCAAAGGGATCACACAAACAAGTCTAGAGTCTGCTAATACTAGCTGATAGAATCAAAAAGGGAGAGAACAATCCATCATGGGAAGCGGGATACACAGTAAACTCATAGAATGGCAGATGTCCTAAATAGCACTCTGGCCTCAGAATCAGCCCTTAAGGCATTCGGATCTGGCTGAAGAGCCCATGAGAGTATTTTAGGCATGGAAAGCCAAGACACCCTGGAAAAAAAAAAAAAAAGGAATACCTAAATGGAAGATCTTTGCGAGTGAGATCCCAGTGGGAAGAATGGGGCCATCAAAGAAGGAGGTACCTTTCTCTGAAGGGAGGAGAGAACTTCCACTTGGACTATGACCCTGTCGGAATAAGATCAAAGTCGGCAAACTCAAAAGGCTTCCATTGCCTTGTAACTCACGACTAGAACCTAGGGAGATTACTGACGCATGAACAAGAGTGTCAAATTGTTAAGTCAACAACAGGAGTCACTGTGTACTTACTTCTCATGTGGGATCTGTCCTTAGTGTGTTGTCCAATGTGAAGTAATGCTATAACAAGTACTGAAACAGTATTTTACACTTTGTGTTTCTGTGTGGGTGCAAACTGATGAAATCTTTACTTAATATATACTGAACTGATCTTCTGTATATAAAGATAATTGAAAATGAATCTTGATGTGAATGGAATGGGAGAGGGAGCGGGAGATGGGAGGGGTGAGAGTGGGAGGGAAATTATGGGGGGGAGCCATTGTAATCCATTAACTGTACTTTGAAAATTTATATTTACTAAATAAAAAATTTAAAAATAAATAAATTAAATAAAATATCTCTTAGAATTGGGAACGATCTTAACATTGAATAAACCTACTCTCACACCCTATGATCCACTCCAACATACCTAAGAAGCATTTACCAATCTTCTGTACAACAATAATGATGAACAGCAGTTAACATTCACTTCATGATGGGGCCGGCACTGTGACACAGCGGGTAAAGCCGCTACCTGTGGTGCTGGCATCCCCTGTGGGTACCAATTCAAGTCCCGGCTGCTCCACTTCCAATCCAGCTCTCTGCTATAGCCTGGGAAAGCAGTAGAAGATGGCCCAAATCCTTGGGCCCCTGCACCCATGTGGGAGACCCAAAAGAAGCTCCTGGTTCCTGCCTTCAGATCAGCACAGCTCCGGCCACTGCAGAGTGAACCACTGGGGAGTGAACTAGTGGATGGAAGACCTTTCTCTCTCTCTCTGCCTCTCCTTCTCTCTCTGTGTAACTCTTTCATATAAATAATAAATCCTTAAAAATAAGAAAAAAGATATCTCTCTCTCTCTGCAATTCTTCCTTTCAAATAAAAAATAATTTTTAAAAAATTCACTTAATGTTTACCATGTATTAGGCACTTGACAAACCACTATATATTGCCTTAATTAATCATCACAATAACCAATGAAATAGGTACTATTGAGACTGCTATCTTATACATAAGGAAAATAGTGAAAGGTGAAAAAGCCAGAACACCAATCAAGTCAGGCTGATTCCAGATCCCATGTGCAAACTGTGCAAACTGTGCAAATCTTCTGTGCAAACTGCCTCCCCTTGAAGCCTCCCAGGGACAGGTATTCCAAAGACAGCTACTGCCAACAGTCCTACATCTTAGTGCTCCTTCTTCTAATTAGTCAGAATCTACACCCTCATCACTTCCTTATACAGCTCCTCTGGGGCACAGATAACTATTTCTCATGATGGTCCTTTTTATAATGTACACCAAGTTATTCAACACTAAGAAGCACGTAACAGAGCTCTATGAGTTTTAGAACTAGAAGGATTTTAGTTAACACTTACTCCAATCCCATTGTTTTACAAATAGTTAAAAGACCCAGAGAATTTTTAGTTGGTCTACAATAAGGGGTAATCCAATGCTCAAGAATGTCAATCCGGAGCTGGCACCATGGCTCACTTAGTTAATCCTCTGCCTGCGGCGCCAGCATCCCATATGGGCACTGGTTCTAGTCCCAGTTGCTCCTCTTCCAGTCCAGCTCTGTGCTGTGGCCCGGGAAGGCAGTGGAGGATGGCCCAAATGCTTGGGCCCTACACCCTCATGGGAGACCAGGAGGAAGCACCTGGCTCCTGGCTTCGGATTGGCGCAGCGCCAGCCACAGCGGCCATTTAGGGGGTGAACCAATGAAAGAAGACCTTTCTCTCTGTCTCTCTCTCTCTAACTCTGTCAAAAAAAAAAAAAAAAGAATGTAAATCCATGAACATGACTATAACACATCTTTCCATCACTCTAGGAGAGTATAGGCTCTTTTTAAGAAACAATGTGCTGCTATCGCCTGCCGGCGCCGCGGCTCACTAGGCTAATCCTCCACCTTGCGGCACCGGCACACCAGGTTCTAGTTCCAGTCAGGGCGCCGGATTCTGTCCCGGTTGCCCCTCTTCCAGGCCAGCTCTCTGCTGTGGCCCAGGAGTGCAGTGGAGGATGGCCCAAGTACGTGGTCCCTGCACCCCATGGGAGACCAGGATAAATACCTGGCTCCTGCCATCGGATCAGCGCAGTGCGCCAGCCGCAGCGCGCTGGCTGTGTCGGCCATTGGAGGGTGAACCAACGGCAAAGGAAGACCTTTCTCTCTGTCTCTCTCTCACTGTCCCCTCTGCCTGTCAAAAAAATAAAAAAATAAAAAAAAATTTTAAAAAAGAAACAATGTGCTGAAAGCAAAGAAAGAAAAATGAGATTTTGTGAATAACTGTTATATAACATTGTATTTATCGCACAAGGAACATAATTTCACTATTCATGAAGTTAAAATTAAGTGAATTTTTTAAATACTACCTTTTTTCATCTAACTTAAATGTGCAGTGTTTTTCTTTCTTCTGGAAGAAAAAGCACATTTAACAAAAATAAATAAAATAAAAAATATTAAGGGAATTTAAAACTTACCCAGTTATCATGTGCTTTTTTTTCATGGGACATAATCTGAAAAAAACAAAATCAATTAAATACTGTTTTTATTAAATAAAAAGCACATCTATGTGTGACTTAGGACATAACTCACAAATTCAAAAATACTCCAAGCATCAGTAAACACCATTTTAATGCAAACTTTCGTGTACATATGATCTATTATGTATGTATATGTAAAGGCAATTAAAATTTTTAGTTAGTAAACTTCCACTCTATGTTCTTTTTCAATAATCAACCACAATAGGAGTTATCAATTAACAGATAACTAGCCTGAGTATGAGACCCCAATGGTGATTTAAGATCTGTTTTTGTCAATTGTAAGCCACTTTTCCAATAAAGCAGGAGACATGGTAACTTTAAGATTTTTTATCCAAGATTCTCTGAATACCTGAAAATGTGGAAACATCTCACAGCCACATGTAACAGCTTAAGAGAAGTGTACAACTGATCAAGTAGTCATATTCTCTATCAATCCAAATATAAGCATTATGAGCACATACACACATACCTGCCCTTGGTAAGAATGAATGGTTCTCTCCAATTCTTCTTCAAGATCTTTGGCTCGCTTTCTATGAAGAGCAAATAATTATTGTACTGTTAATATATAATCACAATAATAGACTATACTCTCTACTATTGTAATATTAATTAAAAACACCCAGAATTTTCTACTTCATGTATAAAATAACTCCAGAACTACACATATTGAGAAGTTAACATGAGAGGTTCTCAAATCTATTTCTTCCTGATCTAATTTTAATATTAATTGCACTTTAAGAGTACTACTCTTTAGGCTTATCGAAAACAAAGGTCATGTAAAGATTTATACTGCATGTGTGTGTATTTTAAGGACTATGATCCTAGCAGACTTATTCAGATATCTGTAATCTTAATATGACCATAGGAAACTAATGACCTTTCAAAAAAAAAAAAAAAAAAGAAGAAGAAGTTACTCATCCCCTTTATAAGACTAACAAGATAATTTCTTCTTTTAGATAAAACCCAAGCTTACTCTTCCTAAGATAAAGTATCACAACTATTCAGATACAGCTGACTCTAACCCTTTTTCTCTCTAGGTTTTCTATTATTTCTTTGAACCAACTGAGGAGTGATCCAAGATGAAAACTAGACTTACAGTCTTATAAACACTTCTGAAAAATGTTAATTATGCAACATATTTCTTTTTTTGCACACTTGCTAAATTAATTAATATTATACACATTCTTCCCCATTTGAACCCAAAACTAAAGACCTTGAAATAAGTGTCTATTCATAAATTTCTTGGTAATAATAATAGAGATCAATATTCAAATATGAGATGGTTAAAAATCACAATCCTGAAAGGAAATCATTTTCTTCCTTTTTGTATTTTCTATATAACTACATAATAGCAAGAACTTTGAATTTAAAAAGTAGTAAAGGTGCGTTGCTGTGGCGCAGCACGTTAACGCCCTGGCCTGAAGCATCGGCATCTCATATGGGCGCCGGTTCGAGACCCGGCTGCTCCACTTCCAGTCCAGCTCTCTGCTATAGCCTGAGAAAGCAGTAGAAGATGGCCCAAGTCCTTGGGCCCCTGCACCCACGTGGGAGACCCGGAGAAAGCTCCTGGCTTCGGATTGGCACAGCTCTGGCTGTTGCAGCCAATTGGGGAGTGAACTGTCGATGGAAGACCTCTCTCTCTCTCTCTCTCTGCTTCTCCTCTCTCTGTGTAACTCTTTCAAATAAATTAATTAATTAAAAAAATGTAGTACAAAGCATGCTATTTATTTTTGGTTGCTTTATTATTTTTCCAATAATGAGTTTTTAGATACCATCCCACCCCCAAAAGATGATACCGATAGGTCTCCAGCTCTTCAGCTGCATAGCTGATCTTTTCATCCACTTTGGAAAGTTTCTCCTCCTTCTCTAGCCGATGATTTTCTTCTACTGTTAATTTCCTTAAAACAAAAGTGTTATATTTCTTTTAATGCATGTCATAAAATAATCAATTATATATTTATAATTGTATCAAAACTGGTGCTTCCCATAATTACCACTACAAACACCACATGCAAGAAAAAAAAAGGTACTACATAAATATTACTAGTGTGGGATTTAACATTATAAACTCAAATTGTAAAGTATTGTGTCTAACATAATATTGCTAACACAACAGTCTCAAGGGTTTTCTATGTGAATTTATCATAAAGATAATATCAAAGGTAAATAATAAAATCCATATGAATATATAACATTTATCAAGCCTTCCTATATAAAAGCATTACATTAGTTAGACAAGAAGTCACCCACTAATAACTGTGTTTCAGTAATTTTTAAACTGGTGGTTAAGCACGTGGGAGACCCAGATGAAGCCCCTGTCTCTAGCTTAAGCCTTGCCCAGCCCTGGCCGTTGCAGCCATCTAGGGAGTCAAACCTCTCTCTGTAACTCATTCAAAGAAATAAATAAATCTAAAAAACAAAATTAGTGATTGAAGCAATGATTAGGCTTCCAGGCCAGTTCACCAAGAAACAAAATCATAAAAGCAAATGTTGGGCCAGTGCCATGGCTCACTTGGTTAATCCTCCTCCTGCAGCAGCGGCATCCCATATGGGCACCGGGTTCTAGGCCCGGTTGCTCCTCTTCCAATCCAGCTCTCTGCTATGGCCCGGGAGTGCAGTGGAGGATGGCCCAAGTGCTTGGGCCCCTGCACCCACATGGGAGACCAGGAAGAAGCACCTGGCTCCTGGCTTCAGATCGGCACAGCGCCAGCCGTAGCAGCCATTTGGGGAGTGAACCAGCGGAAAGACCTTTCTCTCTGTCTCTCTCTCTCTCACTGTCTATAACTCTACCTGTCAAATAAATTAAAAAAAAAAAAATGTTATTAGCAGTAGTATTAGTACTGCCCATTTCTCCTAGTTTTTAATAATACTTTTAATAAGTAACCTATTGAGTCATTAGATTGTAACAGAGATTGTTCTTAGGCCTTTGCATGTACTATCTTACTTAATGACTACAATAGTTCTACAAGGGTACTACTATTCCCAGCGAAAAAAAATGAAAATACAACAGAGAAATTAAGTCAAGTCACGTGTCACTTAATGGTGGGGACAGGGGACAGCGTAAAGATGCTGCCTGCAGTCCCAGCATCCAATATGGGAGCCAGTTCAAGTCCCAGCTGTTCCACTTCCGATCCAGCTCTCTGCTATGGCCTGGAAAAGCAGTAGAAGATGGCCCAAGTCCTTGGGCCCCTGCACCCACATGGGAGACCCAGAAGCTCCAGGCTTCAGATCAGCCCAGCTCCAGCCACTGCAACCATTTAGGGAGTGAACCAGCAGATTAAAGACTTTATTTTTTTTTTCTTTCTCTTTCTCTCTCTCTCTTTTGATATATATATAATATTTATATATATTATCTATATATAAATAATATATGTATTATATATATATAATTCCTCTCTTTATATATATATAAAACTCTATCTCTTTCTGCCTTTCTGTAACTCTGCCTTTCAAATAAATAAATCTTAAAAAATAAACAATGGGAATAAATTCTGAACATTGCATCATTATGCAATTTTATCATTGTGTGAATATCAGAGTATACTTACACTAAGACGGCTACCATGTTCATGAAGTGAGATAACCTTATGGGAACACCATTGTATATACAATCCACAGCTAACCAAAATACCAGTATGCAATACATGACTGTGATTGGAACCAGGCACAGAGCTCACAAGAGTGGTTCTTTGACACTACACGACCCATGTTGATTCATTCACTAGCTTCTCAAGAAATATTTACTGAACAACACACAAGAAAAAATATTTGGAATCCTAAGTGGATGTCTCTGACCCTTTATGAACTCTGGGGAGCAACCACTACAGAAATCCTTCAGGGCCTTAGTAAATGTTTTATATTCTACACACCTATTGCTTAGAAAGCATTCCCCCTAGGTCAGTCATTCCACAGGTATTATAAGAAATAAAGTCATCTCCTTAGGAAACTCATGAAACTATAATAAGCACAGATAAGGAAGAGAAGGGTGTTTTTACAGATTGTATAAACTGCAGATGGCCAGAAATTTTTTGACACCCCTCCAGCTGAGAGATGAAGTCTATGAATCCTCTGCACGAATTTGAACAGGTCTATTAAAAGTGACACTGTGAAAGAAAACCTGATGACTAAAAAGCAGTCAAACCTTACTTCAAATATTAAAGCGACACAGCAAACTTCTAGGTTCTACCATTTCACTTCTCTCCAGTATTAAATTTGGAGACATGCTAGTAGTGCACCACACCAGTTATGAGAAACAGCAAGCCACCATTCAGAGAATGACTGAAGCTGAAGTATACTGTACACAAGCAAGAATTTAAATTTAACATTTTACCAGTACTATCAACTTTTTATATTCTACTCCAAAGAATAACCAGTAGCATCATTTATTGAATTTAATTAGTAAATAGTTTAAGGGCAAGAATGACATATATAATATTTTGGGGATTCAAAACATTCCAAACTAATAAATGAAATCACAATGTAAAGAATACACACAGCTAGAATACACTTTTAGAAGCTACAGAAAAAAAACATTTTCTCTTTGAAATTTTAAAACACTACTCTTTAAAATTCTGTAATTAACCACATACTTTTTTGTTGTTCCAAAGACACATTCAAAAGTATTTCTTGGCCGGCGCCGCGGCTCACTAGGCTAATCCTCCGCCTAGCGGCGCCGGCACACCGGGTTCTAGTCCCGGTCGGGGCACCAGATTCTGTCCCGGTTGCCCCTCTTCCAGGCCAGCTCTCTGCTGTGGCCCGGGAGTGCAGTGGAGGATGGCCCAGGTGCTTGGGCCCTGCACCCCATGGGAGACCAGGAAAAGCACCTGGCTCCTGGCTCCTGCCATCGGATCAGCGCGGTGCGCTGGCCGCAGCGCGCCGGCCGCGGCGGCCATTGGAGGGTGAACCAACGGCAAAGGAAGACCTTTCTCTCTGTCTCTCTCTCTCACTGTCCACTCTGCCTGTCAAAAAAAAAAAAAAAAGTATTTCTTTCACCTCACATAATCCCTGTTATGTACAAATTTTACTTAGAATATCTTTCATCCTGACTTCAAAAGACGAGCCCATTTCTAGCTTTACTGACTGAAATGCTGAGGCCATAATACTACTCTTCCATTTAATCAAGTTCATTTTTCTTTCACATCCTGAGCAATCCCAAATGGCCAGAGGTCCATGATGAACATCAAGTTTTTCAATTCTGAATTGAACCCAAAGCATGAGTTGAGGTATGTAGCTTGGCAGTGAATGAATCTAACTAACCAACCAGCATCCTTTTCTTAATGGAGCATTAATATTCTCTACCAGTTTCCAAATATATTCTCATTTTTGTGCTGGTTTCATTCTATAAAGTCACCATAAATCCTGAATTAAGGGGCCAGCACTGTGGTGTAGGAGGTAAAGCTGCCACCTGTGATTCCAGCATCCCATATGGATGCCGGTTCATGTTCCAGCTACTCCATTTCCAATCCAGCTCCCTATCTACGGCCTGGGAAAAGTATAGGAAGATGGCCCAAGTGTTTAGACCCCTGAGACCTGGATGAAGCCCCCTGCTTTGGCCTGTACCAGCCCCGTCTGTTGCAGCTATCTGGGGAGTAAACTAGTCGATGGAAGATCTCTGCCTCTTTTAAATGTTCTTTTTTTAATTCTGAATAAGCAAACATTGTATCATTGCTCCTAGGGATAATACAAGGCTTGGTTCCTGCTGGCCTCTGGTCACACATTTTAATTAGCCAACCAATATATAACCTTGTTTTATGTGTGCTTCTTTCAAGACATTTAATATATACCTGGTGCCTAAACAAAATTTATCTGACACACCTACTTCCTCTGTAAAAACATCATAGCCTTCCTGTGCTTAGGAACACTAGGTGGCACTTCAACACTATGCATGGAGACCATTTAAATAGTTAAATTACTAACAAAAAGCACCAAAATGTGGCACTATATATACACTCTGAAAAAGACATTTATAGAATGAGAACTGAAACAAGTGTTGCCTTGCTCAAACTCGGCTGGAAAAATATATACACTGAGCAGCTCAAATTTCCTGTAGTCCTGAGCATGCACATGAAATGGTAAAGAAAGGTAAGTATTGATGTTGGATTACAAATAAATCTTAGCAAATAAGCAAATTTGCAAACAGAATCTATAAATAATTAGGATAGATCAGAATGACTTTCATCAAGCTCCTAAAGGGAGCTGAAACTGTTACATTTTACTGCCCTTTATGATGAAAAATATATGCTACAGTGATATTTGAAAATCGGAGTCTCCAAATAGGTATCTCAAAGGTCTTCTCTGTACCTGTACATTCAGGCATCAGCAGACACATGCACACACTATTATTTCCAACATATAAAATTCACTAAACATATTTATTCATATATTCAACAAATATTTATTGACAGCTATCATGTAGCTCATATAGTTTTTAGACATTCAGAATACAGACGAGAAGAAAATCAAATGATTCTGTCATGAAGCTTGCCTTTAATGCTGGAAACATGAAAAAAAGCAATCATTAAAGGACAATAGGGGCTATGAAGGAAAATAAAGCCATAAGATGAAAGATAAAGGGGCTAGGCCGGCGCCATGGCTCACTAGGCTAATCCTCCGCCTGCTGTGCCAGCACCCCAGGTTCTAGTCCCGGTTGCTCCTCTTCCAGTCCAGCTCTCTGCTGTGGCCCGGGAAGGCAGTGGAGGATGGCCCAAGTGCTTGGGTCCCTGCACCCGCATGGGAGACTGGGAGGAAGCACCCAGCTCCTGGCATCGGATCGGTGCAGCGCCGGCCCTGGTGGCCATTAGGGGAGTGAACCAACGGAAGGAAGACCTTTCTTTCTGTCTCTCTCTCTCATAGTCTATAACTCTGTCTCTCTCTCTCACTGTCTAACTCTGCTTGTCAAAAAATAAAAAAAGAAAAAGAAATATAAAGGGTTAATGAGTGGGAAATACTGTTTTACGTAGGTAGTCAGGGAAGGATTCTTTGAGGCTAAGGGTGGAAAGAGGAAGATCTCAAGAAGCTACCAGAATAAACCAAGTAGTGAATGGTGATGGCTGTACCAGAGTAGTAGTATGCAGGATAGGAAAAAGCAGTCTGAGTAAAACCATAGCAAAACTGGCAAGATATGATTATAGAAGGAATATAGGATATTACAATTTGGGTCCCTGAAATCATGCATTTAAACCCCAAAGTCTTATGTTAATGGTTAATGTTAGTAGCTTAAGGTTGGAGACTTGATCTAATTATGACGTCTAGGAGGTGAGCCTAACAGAATGTCTTAGGTCACTAGAGGGTTGCCCTGGGAAGGCAGTTCTACAGAGGGTTGGTTGTATAAATAAAGCATGATTCCCATTTCTCTGCTTCCTGGTTCACTGTGTAATGGTCCCTCCACTGTTCACACTCACCAGATGACTGAATCAATGAGACCACCTAATTTCGGATGGTGAACCTCCAACTCATTAGCCAAAATAAATCGTCCTTCTGAGAAGCTCCTCTTGATTACTTTAAACAAAGTTATTAAAAGCTTTTTTTTGGACAGGCAGAGTTAGACAATGAGAGACAGAAAGACAGAGAAAGGTCTTCCTTTTTCCGTTGGTTCACCCCCCAAGTGGCCGCTACAGCTGGTGCGTTGTGGCCGGTGCACTGCGCCAATCCAAAGCCAGGAGCCAGGTGCTTCTTCCTGGTCTCCCATGTGGGTGCAGGGCCCAAGGACCTGGACCATCCTCCACTGCACTCCCAGGCCACAGCAGAGAGCTGGACTGGAAGAGGAGCAACCAGGACTAGAATCTGGGGTGCCGGTGCCGCAGATGAAGGATTAACCTAGTGAGCCACGGCGCCGGCCTAAAAGCTTATTTAAAATACAGGATACAGAAGAGAAAGAGAAGTCAAGGATGGCTTGAGCAGTCACCCTGATGAATCAGGCAAATGATCCTGTCCTTTAGCAAGACAAGGAACACTTGGGCAGGAGCAATTTGCACGGAGAGAGGAATCAGTTTTACATTTATCAGAGATGGAATTTAAAGGATAATGCGATCAAGTGTGTTCTCCACTCAGATTCCCTGACCTCACCTGCCAGTATCATTTAGTTTAAGACAATAATTTACTGAATATTCATTTACTAGAAGTTAAACAGGATTTTGTGAACTAGCTTAGAAATTCAAATATCAACATTTTCTTTCAAGAAAAAAGCATTTCAAGATCAAATAATTTCTTAAAAATGAATTAACAGGGCTTGGGCTGTGGCATAGCAGGTTAAAGTCCCGGCCTGTAGCACCAACATCCCATATGGGCACCAGTTCAATTCCTGGCTGTTCCACTTCCAATCCAGCTCCCTGCTAATGCACCTGGGAAAGCAGCAGAGGCTGGCCCAGGTGCTTGGGCCCCTGCAGCCATGTGGGAGACCCAGAAGAAGCTCCTGGCTTTGCCCCGGCCCAGACCTGGTCATTGCAGCCATCTGGGGAGTGAACTAGCAGATGGAAGACCTCTCTGTCTCTACCTCTCTCTGTAACTCTTTCAAATAAGTAAAATAAATCTTAAAAAAAAAAAATTAACAAATCCAATCACAAATTGTGAACTTTTAGTAATCACAGAAACTAAATGTGCAATATATGCCTATGGTTTTAAAACTATTTTACTTGCCATCCAATGGAGTTATCAGTTTAATTTTGATTACCTGTGGAGTTTCATTTCATTTTCTTGGTACAGTTCAGTCATTACTGTAAGTTTCTGCTGAAGCTTCTGAATTTCACTTTCAAACTGTGCATTTTCTGTCTGCAAAGATGCTTGTTCAGTCTGGAGATTTTTAATATGCTCTACAGAAAATTTTAGATCATAATAAAGGGTAAATATTTTGAGTTATACAATAACAGTTGAGAAGGATAAAATATACCAAAAATTATAAATTAATAACAAGTCAAACTCTCTCCAATAACAGAAAATCTAAACACTTTTCAATACTTAAAAGACTTATATGTACTATTCTAAATATTTCTTATATTATTGCTTATAGGATTCTCAACCTTTCATTCTAATTTAGCACCTAGTTTTCAACCAAAGAGTTAAAAGGCACTAAGAAAAGTTTCTTAAAAGGCAGACATTTTAGTTCAACATTCCTTTAAACTATTTCCATATGAATCAATAAAGTCTTTTTACCCTGTAAAAATTTGACTTCTCAATAATACTTAAGTTCTACCCAACACTCCCTTTGAGGCCAAAATTTTTATAGTTATAGATCAAGCCAGAAATCTGTATCTTTTGGTTACAAACACTCAAATGTCCTCCAAGCTTAAACCGAACTAAGACTGGAGAAAAAAATATTGACTTTAACCTAGCTTAAACTGCTAACCACCTAAAATAATCACCTATAAGAATGACAATTAATAATTCTAAATAAGTATGAATGCTTTATAATGATTTATAAAATTAGTGCATCACTTAGTTGATGGTAGACTGAATGAAAGGTATACTTTCCAAAATGTTTATGAATCACTACTACAAACCTTTTTTTTTTGACAGGCAGAGTGGACAGAGAGAGAGAGAGACAGAGAGAAAGGTCTTCCTTTACCGCTGGTTCACCCTCTAATGGCTGCTGCAGACAGCGCGCTGCGGCTGGCGCGGCACACTGATCCGAAGCCAGGAGCCAGGTGCTTCTCCTGGTCTCCTATGCGGGTGCAGGGCCCAAGGGCTTGGGCCATCCTCCTCTACACTCCCGGGCCACAGCAGAGAGCTGAACTAGAAGAGGGGCAACCGGGACAGAATCCGGCGCCCCAACGGGGACTAAAATATGGTGTGCCGGCGCCACAAGGCGGAGGATTAGCCTATTGAGCCGCAGCGCCGGCCTACTACTACAAATCTTAATGAAAGGAAAAACTCACTTTATCTACAGAAGGTAGCTATAAAATCAGTAATTACATTAATTACATTAATGGTATATAATTATTCTAAAACATTCATTAATTAAATGTACATACCAAGGGCTGTTTAAATAAATATGTTAATATTAAATTATTAAATGTACAATAAATTGCACATATCTGTCTTTTCACAAGAAGTTTTCAATCCACTTCAGAATAAACATTGTTAAGCTAGGCTTTAAGAAACTGCTAAGAATAATCATTTAATAAAGAAATTAATGTTGGGGCCGGCTGCGGATCGGCGGGGTCCGAGGGCGCTGGGTCCAGCAAAGCGAGGAGTTAAATTTAAGGTCATGGCAAAACATCTGAAGTTCATCGCCAGGACTGTGATGGTGCAGGATGGAAATGTGGAAGGTGCATACAGGACCCTAAACAGGATCCTCACTATGGACGGGCTCATTGAGGACATTAAGCGACGGTGATACTATGAGAAGCCTTGCCGCCGGCGACAGCGGGAAAGTTATGAAACCTGCAGGCGCATCTATAACATGGAAATGACTCGAAAGATCAACTTCTTGATGCGAAAGAATCGAGCAGATCCATGGCAGGGCTGCTGAGGCTTGTGGCCAGAAGGCCCAGGATGAACCCTTCATGCAATTTGTGCCTCCACATCTCACCTTTCTCAAACCCCATTTTCTCTTACCTTTATCTACAATAAACTCAATCACCCCCACACAAGAAAAAAAAAAAAGAAATTAATGTTTGGTATGTAGTGTAAAACGTTTTATTGTAAATATGGTTCATTTATTTTAGAAGTTTTTGAAAATACAGATATAAGAAAATAAAATACAATAAAATCTTCCCATAATCCCACACTCAAAAATGACCAGTATTGGGTCCAGTGCTGTAGAATAGTAAGGCTAAGCCTCAGTCTACAGCACCAGCATCCCATACGGGGACCAGTACATGTCCCAGCTACTCTTCTTCTGATCCAGCTCCTTGCTTATGGCCTGAGAAAGCAGAAGATGGTCCAAGTGCCTAAGCCCACACACCCACATGGGAGACCTGGAAGAAACTCCTGGTTCCTGCTTTCAGATTGGCTGAGCTCTGGCTGTTGTGGTCATTTGGGGAGTGAACCAACAGATGGAAGACCTTTCTCTCTGTCTGTAACTCTTCCTCTCAAACAAATAAATAAAATCTTAAATTAAAAAAATGACTAATATTTGAATATAATTTCTAGTCTTTATTGATATAAATGTATATTGTACATTTTTAAATTATTTTTAAATGAGATGTTATTTTACCAACATAAACTTCAATTACAACTGATTCGATTACTTCTTAAATACAAACACTAGCAGCAAAATAAATAGAAATGTTTTCTTTTATGTGCTAACATACTATGCAAGGATATTAAAGAGGCAAATCATATGGCAAAACCACATTGCTAAAGATCAACTTGCAACTGATAAAGATATTTTAAAACTTCAATTTATCACTCTTAAAATCTAACACTATACTTCATATAACACTAAAACTCAAAGATAAATTTGGTTTTACATGTTTTCAAATATAATTCCACTGTCTTAATTAAACTTAAATTTGGAGGAAACTGCTATAACTTCATCAACAACAGAAAAAAATCAGGACTAATTTTTCACAAATAGCCAACAAAAACAAAAATTTTAAAAAATTAAACAATCTTCCCAAAATTAGTTCAATTAATGGCACCATTCTCCATAAGGAGATGTAATAATTTAAATAAATTGCCTACCTGTAAGGTCTTCCTTTGTTTTATCTACTTCAGATAGTTGAGTGTAAATTTGGTTTCGTTCTCCTTCTAGGGTTTTTAAAGAAGCATTTAACTTTAAAGAATAGAAAAATAAAAACAGTATAACATTAATCAGTTATACAAACACACACACACATACACACACACAACCCTTTTGAAGCTATTTTATCACTTCGATGAAACTGTCACCTAGAATGCAGAAGCTAACAATGCAACAACGCAGTTTCCATCTTTAAGAGCTACCAAAGTCATCAACAATTAAGTCTTAAAACAGGAATAAGAATCAAGGGCTTGGTACAGCAGTTAACACACTACTTGGAATGACCACATCCCATGTTCGTAAGCCTAGGTGCAAGTCCTGGCTCTTCTTCTGATCCAGCTTCCTGCTAATGTATACCCTGGGAGGCAGCAATGGATCAAGTACTTGAGTCCTTGTGGCCCATCTGGGAGACCTGGACTGGGTTCCTCGCTCCTAACTTCAGCCTGGCTCAGCCGGCTGTTACAAGCATTTAAAGAGTGAATCATTCAAAGTGAGATTTGTTTCTTTCTCTTCCCACCTCCCCAACCTTTAAAATAAATAAAACTTTAAGGGGGAAAAAAAAAAACAAAAACAAAAACAAAAAAACCAGAAAAAAAAGAAGCAGAGAAATGTTTTTAGTTGGAAGCTTCACCAATAGCTATTTTCATTGTATTCACTTTCAGCCCAAGTTTTGAAAGCAGCCTTCAAACTACATTATCAATACTTTACATGGATCAGCAAGGCTCAGGTTCCCAATAACAGGGTAGAAAACAGAGGGAATATATTGGAAGAAAATGAACCTAGTATTCACTTCTCAAATAGAATATGGAACTTTAAGAACAAGAATATACCAAGATGGGACCGTGCTGTGGCGTAGCGGATAAAACCGCCGCCTGTAGTGCTGGCATCCCATGTGGGCGCCAGTTCAAGTCTCGGCTGCTCCACTTACAAACCAGCTCTCTGCTGTTGCCTGGGAAAGCAGTGGAAGATGGCCCAAGTCCTTGGGCCCCTGCACCCATGTGGGAGACCCTGAGGAAACTCATGGCTCCAGGCTTCAGATTGGTGCAGCTCTGGCCGTTGTGGCCAATTGGAGAGTGGGCTGGTGGATGGAAGACCTCTCTCTCTCTCTTTCTGCCTCTCCTTCTCTCTCTGTGTGTAACTCTGACTTTCAAATAAAATAAATAAATCTTAAAAAAAAAAAAAAAAGAATATACCAAGACTAGAAGAAGAAGAATGCACCATGGGACATATGAAATAAAACACAACTCTAAAAACTTTTATTCTGATAAATTCTAAAACTGATTTTATGAATTTCTAAAGTTAATATGAAAAAGTAAAAAATAATGAACAAAATTTTGATCACCTCTGAACTAAACTTACATAGAAACAACAGAATGAACTTTTAAAATAGTTACTAAGGACATAAAGGTTTCACCCACATTCTATTTCTTCTTCCACATTCTTTATATTTACATAATAATGCAAACCTTAGCAGCATGAATCAATTTCTTCAAAGCTCCTTTTGGATGATTATCTATAGTGAAAAACAAACAAACAAAAAGTAATCATTTGGGAAAACAGTACAATACTACAAGAGATATCCAAACAATTTTATTAGTTCACTCAACTACAGCATTATAATCCCTCTTCTTACTATGATAAAGATTTGGAATAAGGCAGAATGGCCCTGACCTGCTCCCAGGAAGCTAAACAATAAAAGCATTGGGAGTATCAAATCATTTAACAAGATTCTTCAGCACTAACTCCAAGAACAGAGTTATAACAAGGATTCAGTATTCATCTAAATATAGACAAAAACTTTTAACTATTCTTGAATTCTCATAGCATCTAAAATATGAGAGGAATTGCAACCTAAAGTAACATAATATTAAACAAGCTTAAGTTCTATTAGAAAAACAACTACTTCTGTGGCCAGCAATGTGGCATAGCAGGTAAAGCCACTGCCTGCAATACCAGGCATTCCAAATGCACACTGGTTCATGTCCTGGCTGCTCCACTTCTGATCCAGCTCCCTGCTAACGAGCCTGGGAAAAACAGTGTAGGGTGGCCCAAGTGTTTGGGCCCCTGCCACTCACAGGGGAGACATGGATGAAGCTCCTGTCTTTGGCCTGGCCCAGTGCTAGCCACTGTGGCCATCTGGGGAATGAACCAATGGATGGAAGACATTTCTCTGTCTCTTCCTCTCTCTGTAACTCTTTCAAAATAAATAAATATTCAAAAAAAGAAAAAGAATTATTTCTTACATGATAAAGTAGAAGTGAAAAAGTACAAATGAAACTTTACAAGTCTCTCCAGATCCACAGTTTCATTTTCTGTGCTTTCAGTTGCCTGTTGTCAACCACAGTCCAAAAATATTAATTGGAAAAATCCCAGAATTAAACAATTTGTGAGTCTTAAATTATGTGCTGCTCTTACTGCTTAAATGAAACTTCATGCTATACTGCTCCTTTCTGTGCAAGATGCAAATCATTTCTTTGTCCAATGAATTCAGTATATATGCTATTCATCCATTAATTGTTTAGTAACTATCTCATTTATGAGATTGACTGTTATACTACGCAAGAGAGATCAACGTCACATAAGTTTCATTATAAAATATTATAATCATTCTGTTTTAGTATCATTTATTATTAATCTCTTACTGTGCCCAACTCATAAAATAAACTTTATTATAGGTATCCAAGTATAGGAAAAGAAATAGAATAAATGAGGGCTTGGTACAAGTCACAGTTTCAGGTTTGAGGAATTCAAACATACCCCCTTCCCATTAGGGGGATTTACTGTATATATTTACCATGAGAAGTAGTTTTCTCTCAACATATTAATACTATCATGAAAAAAATTTTCAAAAGCACACATCTTGGGACAAGCACTACAACCTAACAGGTTAAGTCACCACTTGGGATACTCAAATCCTATATCAGAGTTCCTGGAATCAAGTTCTGCCTCCACTTCCCATTCAGGTTCCTGCTAATGCACCGGGTAGGCATCAATGGTTCAAGTACTTGTGTTCCTGCTAACCACTTGGGAGACCTGGATGGAGTTCCTGGCTCTAGGCTTCAGCCTGACCCAGCCCCAGCTGATACTGGCATTTGGGGAGTGATCTCTCTATCTCTGTCCCTCTCTTTCTATCACTCTGCATTTCAAATAAATAAATAAAAACTTAAAATAATAATAAAAATAATCAAGTTCTTCCACCTTCCACTGCCTTCCCAGGTGCATTAGCAGGAAGCTGTATAGGAAGTGGGGTAGCCAGCACTCAACAACTCACATTGGATACCAGCATCATAGGAAGCAGCCAAAAACTCTGTGCCACAAGGCCAGCCCCCAAAAAAGTCTTTTTTTAAAAGGTCAACAGAATTGACTTGAGAACATAGTGAGTAGCTTCAGTTAATCTAACTTTTGGCAAGTCCAGACCACAACCAGCAATGACAAGAATCATTTGTGATGGCCAAAAATTAGTACAAACATCTGATTAAAGCAAAAAAAAAAAAAGCATCTTGATCTATGAATTACTGATTTACATAACACTCATTTTTCAAACTGGTCACCTAGCCATTTGATTAGCTTACACAGCACTGAAATGATTACAACACAATCCAAGGGTGTTGAAGGAGGATTTCTATACCTGCTGCAGGATCCTATACTTGGATACCTATAATAAAGTTTATTTTATGAGTTGGGCAAAGTAATACATGTCATCTAAGAGAACAGAAGAAAACGAGGCTTGAGGTCTATCTGAGGAGCTGAAGTGATTTACTGGTGGTATTCCAGCTGAAGATAATGGGGTGGTGAGACAGTGACAGTGTTACTAATGTGCCAAAGCTGACCCCATATCCCCTTAAGCTGCATGGTAAAAATGCCACCTTAAGTTTTTTGGTTTTTTTTTTCTTTTTTGACAGGCAGAGGGGACAGTGAGAGAGACAGAGAGAAAGGTCTTCCTTTGCCGTTGGTTCACCCTCCAATGGCTGCCATGGCCGGTGCGCTGTGGCCGGCGCACCGCACTGATCCGATGGCAGGAGCCAGGTACTTCTCCTGGTCTCCCATGGGGTGCAGGGCCCGAGCACTTGGGCCATCCTCCACTGCACTCCCTGACCACAGCAGAGAGCTGGCCTGGAAGAGGGGCAACCGGGACAGAACCCGGTGTGCCAGCGCCGCAAGGCGGAGGATTAGCCTACTGAGCTGCGGAGCCAGCTGTCACCTTAAGTTTTAAAATGACCATATTGGCTGGCGCCGCAGCTCACTTGGCTAATCCTCCGCCTGCAGCACCGGCACCCCAGGTTCTAGTCCCGGTTGGGGTGCCAGATTCTATCCCGGCTGCTCCTCTTCCAGTCCAGTTCTCTGCTGTGGCCCGGGAAGGCAGTGGAGGATGACCCAAATGCTTGGGTCCTGCACCCGCATGGGAGACCAGGAGAAGCACCTGGCTCCTGGCTTCGGATCAGTGTAGTGCGCCGGCCATAGTGGCCATTTGGGGGGTGAACCAATGGAAAGGAAGACCTTTCTCTCTGTCTCTCTCTCTCTCACTGTCTAACTCTGCCTGTCAAAAAAAAAAAAAAAAAAAAAAAAGACCATATTAAGTGTTAAAGTGATCGTATAGATAGGATTAAGTGTTAAAGGGATCATATAAATAAGATCAATGTCTGGTACTAATAATAGATAGAATTAAAAAAAGAGAGAATGTTCCAACATGGGAAGCAATCCACACAGCAGACCCATAGAATGACAAATGCTTTAAATAGTACTCTGACCTCAAAATCAGCCCTTAAGGCATTCTGGTCTGGCTGAAAAGCCCATGAGAGCATTTCAGACATGGAAAGCCAAGATACTGTGGTAAAAAGAATGTCCTACATGAAGGATCTCTGTGAGAGAGATCCCGGTGGAAAGAACAGGTCATCAAATAAGGAGGTACTTTTCTCTGAAGGGAGGAGAGAACTTCTACTTTACTTATGACCTTGTCTAAATACTGACAGAGCCTGTGGATTCAAAAGGCTTCCATAGCCATGACAGCTCCTTTCCAGAGCCTCAGGTGATCACTGATGTCATACATAAGAGTGCTAATTGTGAAATTAACAACAGGAGTTACTGTGTACTTACTTCCCATGGAGGATTTCTATCCTCAGTAAGTTTGTACTATGAGAATTAACTGTAAAACTTGTTCCTAAACAGTTTTGTGTTGGTGTGTATGTGTATGCAAACCACTGAAATCTTTACTTAGTATAGAGTTGGTCCTCTTTGTATAAAGTTAATTGAAAATGAAATCTTAATGGAGAATGGGAATGGGAGAGGAAGGAGAAGGTGGGATGAGAGAGTGGGGGTGGGAAGGTGGGTATGGCTGGAAGAATCACTATCTAAAGTCATACTTATGAAATTTGTACTCATTAAGTAAAAGGTTTCTTTGGGGAAAAAAAAAATGTTCCAAAGCATATCAAGAACATGGTCCATACAAGTAAAAAAGAAACAGATGAGCTATCACAATTTTATCAAAAGAGGATCAATCACAACTTAATACCTAAATGAGCACCATTTTCTGATTCACTCTTCATTTCCAGTTCCACATTGTCATCATCTGTTATGTCTTCTCCAAGAATGGCAGCCCAATCCTTCATCTTTAGCAAGCGTTCAGTCAGAGACTTGATGTTTAGCAAAGAAATAAAACAAAAAGAGAGGGCAATGACTTACACTAATAGCTTTACGGTTTCTTTTATCTTAAGATTTATTGACTTACTTATTTACTTATTTATTTGAAAAGCAAAGAGACAAAGAAAGAGGGAGAGACAGAAAGAGAGGTAGTCATCCATCCACTGGTTCAATCCCCAAGTGGCTACTCTCTCTCTCCCTCTCTCTCTGCCTCTATGTAACTTCTCTATGTAACTCTGACTTTCAAATAAATACATAAATCTTAAAAAAAAAAGGAAAGAAAGAATCTAAAGTAAAACATTCGAGGTTTTCCAATAGTGGGTTTTTTTTTAATTTCCTTGGATAAAGAAAGATTTCCTAACACTATAAAAAAATTTAAATGACTGTGCCATTTATTGCTCTGGTGAGACTAAAAATATATCCTATTCTACAACTATTCCCTTACAATCTCCTCACTCTTTTTAGAATTCCAGGCACAAATAACAGGGTCTACAGCTTTGAGCAGAGTGCAAGGTTTAGTGTCTCATTCTTGTTCTATTTAGGAAGCATCCCTAGCTCTTTTGATCATTAAGATTAGGGAAGAAATCAAACAATACCCTTGTCACTTGGTATCTGCCAGGGACAGGTTCCAAGAACAACCCATCCCACCCATACATGCCAAAGTCCACAGAAGCTCAAGTCTCTTAAATACAGTGGTGCAGTATTTACATACAATTTACACATATCTTCCCAAATACTTTAAATCAGCTCTATACTTATAATAATATATAATAATTGTAAATGTCATGGAAATAGTTACACTGTATTTTAGAGAATAATGACAAGAAAAAATAGTTGCTATACTATACTGATTAGGGAATAATGACAAGAAAAAGAATCTATACATGTTCAGACACAACACTTTTTTTCAAGTATTTCTAATCCATAGTTGGTTGAATCCACAGATATGGAACCTGAGGGTGCAGAGGACCAGCTATATGCCACTAATAATGTTTTCAAGATTCCAGTCTATGAATTTTATTCTTAATTTGGCATAACAAAGATTTGTTTGGAAATCTTTTTTTTTTGTTTCAGAAATTCTAGCCAACTCAATCACACAAACCAGCAGTCACTTACCTTGATGTGATCTTCTTTATCATTTAGAACTTGTTCTGCCTGTACTTTAGTGTCTTCAAATGTTACTTTCTGTTTATTAAGTTCATTCACTTTTTCTTTCCATATTTCAGCTTCTTGTGAAAGCTGAATTTGAAACAAAAAAATGCAATTCATCTTATCATACTTATACATACACGAGTATATTGACACAGCAGGGTATATCATTAACAGGCATTACATTCTGCTACTTAAAAAAAAGAAAGACATGGCTCCTGTTTCAAAGACCTTTCCAAACAGGTAGCATAAAATAATAGAAACTTAAATATTCTTCAACTGATTTACATAATAAATGTACATCCAATAAAAGGTTTTCTGAGACATATACACAGGTACTTCAAAAAGTTTGTGGAAAACAACTAAAAGATGAGTTTATCTTGTTGCAAAAATAAGAATCCTTTGAAATCCATGCACAGTTTTTTCATAATACACATTTTTTCATGAATGGTCTGAAAATCCCTCATTTCTTTCTCTCTCTCTCTCTTTTTCCCTTTATCTGCTACTCTGCCCATCAAAAGAATCTTTGAAAAAAAGGCAATAAGAAAAGTAGGCCAAAAAATAACTACACAGATAATCCACAAAAGAAATGACCCATATGTATGAAAGAAAAGCCTAAATTTATTTAGTCTTCAGGGCCAGCACAGTGGCACAGCAGTTTAAGATATCAGCTGCAGCACTGGCATCCCATACGGGTGCTGGTTCAAGTACCAGCTGCTCCACCTCCGATTCAGCTCCCCACTAATGTGCCTGGGAAAATAGCAGAAGACGGCCCAAGCCCCTGTGACCCTGCCACTCATGTGAAAGACCCAGAGGAAGCTCTTAGCTACTAGTTTCCTCCTGGCCCAGCCCTGGTCATTGCGGCCATTTGGGGAATGAACCAGATGATACATGCTCTCTCTGTCTCCTTCTAGCCCTGCCTTTCAAATAGTCTTTTTAAAAAAAATTATTTAGTCTTTGGGGCTGGCACCATGTCTCACTTGGTTAATCCTCTGCCTGTGGCGCCAGCATCCCATATGGGCGCTGGGTTCTATTCCCAGTTGCTCCTCGTCCAGTCCAGCTCTCTGTGGCCTGGGAGGGCAGTGGAGGATGGCCCAAGTGTTTGGGCTCCTGCACCCACATAGGAAACCAGGAAGAAGCACCTGGTTCATGGCTTCGGATCAGCACAGCACCAGCCATAGCAGCCATTTGGGGAGTGATCCAACGGAAGGAAGACCTTTCTCTCTGTCTCTCTCTCCCACTGACTATAACTCTGTCAAATAAAAAAAATTATTCAGTCTTCATAACTCTATTCTATTGAATAATAAGTACTGGACTTCTCTGTAAAACCAGGCCTTCATTAGCACATTTCCTACCACACACCCAACCCCGCAAAAAAAATCCTTTTCCATGCATATACAAAAGGATCAGATGATGACTAGCAGGTAAAAGCAAATGAGGACTAAAGAAAAACACTTGGATCTGTTGATTAAGTTTTCAAAGGTTAACAAAGGAGTGCACCAGAACATGAAAACAGTGAATACAGAATATTTTGTTTCAGGAACTTTGATGATCAGAAAGAAGTCACATAAAAGCAGCTGTAACAAGCAAGGTGATCTAGGTGAAATTTTTTTTCAAACTAGAAAAGGCTTCCTTTGACTATACCACAGCAAATTTAACACTGGGTTTAACATCACTTTCTCCTGACACGAAGATGACAAAAAAGTATTATTATTGTTTTTTTTTTTTAAGACATAAACTCACAAGGAAAGAGAGAACAGGAGATGAGGCAAAGATGACTGTAAAAACAGAAAATAGAAAGTGATGGAAATGCTAATAGACTCAGGAGACAACAGAGAGCTAAAATCTGAGCCAGAAGATGAGAAAGCTCAAAAGCAGGTTGATTCGATAACACCCAAAAAAAGCCCATGACCTGAAGACACAGATACCTTATATACTCAAGGACTGAAAAAAAGGAGAACTGCCATGAGTATTTGGCACAGCAGGTAAAGGCACAACTTCCGACATTCACATCCCTTATTGGAGTAGACAAATTCAAGTCCCAGACCCACCCAGATTCCTGCTTCCCAATAATGTGCACTTTGGCGGTCAGTAGGTGATGGTTCAAGCAGCTGGATCCCTGCCACCCACATGGCAGACCAAGATTAAGTTCCCTCATCCAAGCCGGCGCCGTGGCTCACTAGGCTAATCCTCTGCCTTGCGGCGCCAGCACACCAGGTTCTAGTCCCGGTCGGGGCACCAGATTCTGTCCTGGTTGCCCCTCTTCCAGGCCAGCTCTCTGCTGTGGCCAGGGAGTGCAGTGGAGGATGGCCCAAGTACTTGGACCCTGCACCCCATGGGAGACCAGGAGAAGTACCTGGCTCCTGCCATCGGATCAGCGCGGTGCGCCGGCCACAGCAGCCATTGGAAGGTGAACCAACGGCAAAGGAAGATCTTTCTCTCCGTCTCTCACTGTCCACTCTGCTTGTCAAAAAAAAAAAAAGTTCCCTCACCCAGCTTAGGTCTGGCTCCACCCTGATCATTCCAAATATTTGGGAAGTGAACTAGCAGGTAAGAACCCTCTCTCTCTAATAAATACACTTTTACAAAAGATTTGCATCTCTGGAAGACAGTATACAGACGAATCATGGATAGGTACACAGGAAACAAAACAATTATTAACATCAGAGAAAATAAAATGCCAGGTATCACAGATCATGTAATCAGAACATATCCTGTGAACCAGATACAATATTTAGAGCGTCATAACAATGCAATCATTGAAAATTTTTCCCACTGAAAAACTGTAACTTTGCTGGGCGAACAGAATGAAAGGAAATATATGTGGATGAGTGGGAGTTGCCCATATTTGTGAGGGAGGAAAATGATAAAAGTTAAATTCTCATTTGATCACCTCTAGAACTACTTCTGTCTTTAGAGCCCAGATAAGGAGTGAGCGTTAAATGCTATCTGCCAATGATTGTCTAAGTGCAAAACATCCTGGCTTACTTTCACTCCTGGAGGAAGAGAGTACCAGAAGAATACACTTGTGTATCCTATACAAAACAGACACCTGTAATTATGCAACAGAACTGCCCTGCTCTGAAGCTAACCAGGAAAAATCTACTCTTGCTCCTAACATGGGTCAGTCATGAGAATGCCCAGAACACTTCTAATTACATATTCACAGGTTAGAGTCCCTATAGAGTACAAACCTGTTTCTGGCTTTCCTGAAGCTGGGAATTTTCATTCAAAGCATCTTTTATTGCTATCTTAAGTCGTTCTTCATTCATTTGAAATATTTTGAAAGTTGTTTTGGCCTAAGTAAAAAAATAGTAAGTTTGTAACAATTTAATACAGTAGCTCATCTTCACAGACTCCCTAGAGCACAGAACTAGACAAAAGCAAAAGCATGCACAATTTGCCAACATAGCAGTGATATTCCAGCAGAGCCATCACAGAACAGCAGGAACAAGGGCAGCCTAGAGTCAGGGTATGCACCTGGCTCCGCCACGAACTTGCCATGTGACCTGAGACAAACGATTAACCTGTTGTCGATGTCTATGTACTATACAGCAGATTTTGCTATTTATTCTGCATCTCCTCTACTAAAATTTAAACTCCATGAGCATTTTCTTATCTTAATATATTAAGTGCAAAGCACCTTCCATGGTGCTCAATATATAGCAATAGCTCAGCAAATATCTATCTAGTATTACAATAAACTTTTCTGAAATACCTCATGAAAAAAATACAAATTTAAGATCCTCTATATCTCAGATCCTAACATTATGTATTATTCCTTAATAATAAAAACAAAATTTTATTATTTTCAAAAGCAACAGACCCACAAGTATTAAACAAATTCAACTTACTTCAGCTACTTGTGATTTGAGGGTTTTTGATTCATCTTCTAGGGACTGTACCCTTTTTGAAATATCTGCCATCTGGAAAGACAATATCAGTCAATAAGTAAGTATTTACTAAATCCCTCCAGTTTCCAAGATGTCATATATGTTAGATATATTGTTAACTTTAGACTTGTTGCTTAAGTGAGGGCTCAACTTAAGAAACCTCATTTATTTAGCCTTATTTTTTTTTTTTTTTTTTTTTTGACAGGCAGAGTGGACAGTGAGAGAGAGAGACAGAGAGAAAGGTCTTCCTTTGCCGTTGGTTCACCCTCCAATGGCCGCCGCGGCCGGCGCGCTGCGGCCGGCGCACCGCGCTGATCCGATGGCAGGAGCCAGGAGCCAGGTGCTTTTCCTGGTCTCCCATGGGGTGCAGGGCCCAAGCACCTGGGCCATCCTCCACTGCACTCCCAGGCCACAGCAGAGAGCTGGCCTGGAAGAGGGGCAACCGGGACAGAATCCGGCGCCCCGACCGGGACTAGAACCCGGTATGCCGGCGCCGCTAGGCGGAGGATTAGCCTAGTGAGCCGCGGCGCCGGCCTATTTAGCCTTATGTTAGAAGTGATTTTATTTGAAAGCTACTTAACCACAGTTTCTCCTCTCAACTTTGATATTTCATAACATTTAAGTTACACAGGCTCAAGATAAGTCCACCAACATCATATCTCTTTTTTTTTTTTTTTTTTTTGACAGGCAGAGTGGACAGTGAGAGAGAAAGAGACAGAGAGAAAGGTCTTCCTTTGCCATTGGTACATCCTCCAATGGCCGCCGCGGCCAGCACACTGCGGCCGGCCAGTGCATCACACTGATCCGAAGCCAGGAGCCAGGTGCTTCTCCTGGTCTCCCATGCGGGTGCAGGGCCCAAGCACTCGGGCCATCCTCCACTGTACTCCCTGGCCACAGCAGAGAGCTGGCCTGGAAGAGGGGCAACCGGGACAGAATCCGGCGCCCCAACCAGGACTAGAACCCAGTGTGCCGCCGCCACTAGGTGGAGGATTAGCCTATTGAGCCGCGGCGCCAGCCCCAACATCATATCTTAGTAAGTAACCTCATACACATCAAGATGTTCCTTAAACTGGACTTTAAAACAGACAAAATCATGTTGTTATCATACCTTTTTAGTATATGTGCTGCTGAAGCGAGCACAGCATACCTTTTTAATAACAGAAACTATTCACTCTATATGTGATTATGCAACTTAAATTACTTATATGAGCTACTTTGATAATGCACATAGAAAATTTTTGTGACAAAATTTGCAACAAAAAAAAACTGTACATGGTGACATCTAGGAAGAGAAAAGAATGCGTCTGGAAAATGTCCCCTCATTTTACAGCCTCCTGTATTCTTTATCTTTTTGTATAGTGCATATAATACTTTAGCCAATATCATTACTTTTTAAAACCTCTTTAACATACTTTTGGTTATACTCTCCTCAAGTACAAAAACCTTACCAATTTATCTTGTTCGGAATGTTTAGATTTCTCCTCTTCTAACTGTTTTTCTAAAAAGAATACTTCATCCTCAAGCTTAGATTTGAAGCTGTCCAGCTTTTCATGGGTTGTCTGAAAAAATAAAAAAAGCCAAATTTGTAACACAGACATAGGAATTTTTAGTTAGGGTCCAGATGAGTACAATCAAACAAATGTACTGTAAGTTTAGCTTATAGATTTTGCTTATTTTTATAACATTAAAATATCAGCATTCTAGCAGTGTCCAGCAAACTTCTTCAGAGTCAGAAAGTGGACATTTCAGGTTTGCAGATAACACAGTCTTTGTCACAACTACTCACCCATGATGTAGTAAAGAGAAACAGGTAATACTAAATGAATGAGCATGGCTGTACTCCAATACAATTTTTTTTTAATGAAAATAGGTTGAGAACCCATTGAGTACAGTTTGCCAACCTCTCCTCTACAGTATTATAAAGGAAAAAATAGGAAAATGACTAATCAATATAATTAATAACATAATAACATCAAGAATAAACTAAAAAATCAATCAAGATTGCTTCATAATATTTGATATTGAATTAGGACATATTTTGTGTAATTTTTTAATTTAAAGTGATTATTGGATTATTCCAACTGGATTTAAATACTATAATAAACATACCTCTGATATTTGTGATCCTTCAACAAACTTGTTTAAAACAAAAAAAATTAAAAGATTCAAAGAATGTAATATAAGCAAAAACAAAAGCAAAATAAATATAATACAGTGGTTTAAAATATACTTCTTTTTACATATTTCCCCAAATGTGGCTATTTATATAGATCTGAATAAGAATTACTCTATTGGTTTGATTTTACCTACAGATTCAAGTACTAAATTTTTAAAACTTTTATCACATATTTTGTATTCAATTATGATTACTATTCTTGAAAATAAATACTATGTTTTTTAAATTACTAAAATTAAAGAAAATTTTCCCAAATATTCAGTTAGTTAATTTTACTCCTAGGTTATATAAATGTACTGCCTTGGTAACATTTTATCTACAATACCAACAAGGTTAAGTAAGTATATTTGCTACCCAGTTTTTCCTCCTCTGTTAGCATTCCAAATGCCTTCTAAAATTCTTTTTTATTTATCAAACTACTAATCAATTACTACTAGGACAGTAATTTTAAAAGTATCAACACTGCTTCTCAGCCTTTTGGCTAAGATCAAATGTAAAGAGTGTCATCAAATGAAACAGAAGATGTTCAACAAATTCTTGAAGATATTAGGTAGCAAATGAAGAAAAAAGAGAATAATAAATTTAGACTCCACAAGGAAATTCTAAATCATGACAAATAGACAGTCTGATGACTACAGACATCAGTGATTAAAAACTGCTAAATGGAACTGAACTATACAACAAAGTAAAATGTCTACCATTCTCTAATTTAATTTTGCATTAAGTAGGCTCCTTCTGTCTTTTGTCACTACTGTTTTTCACACTTCCACCTTTAAACAGTAGCAAGATACTCCCATCACTTACCCTGATCTGTCTTAATTTAGCTAAAAGTAATGTTTTCCTTCCTTACAAAGAGTTGAATCACACCAGGCTCAGGAAAGTCGACTAACAAGGAAACTCCTCACTCAGGACCCTCATGTTGGTAGCTTGAGATTGGGTATGGTGGGAGCATTTACACCACAAAACTTGGCAAATGTTTTTTTAGAGAGCCAGTTGTGAAACGCTTAGCAGCATACCATTACTAAATAATGTAAACTTTTGATCTAATTTTAAATAACTCCTAATATTCTGGAGATTAGGTAAAGGCAAATACTGTCACAATTTAGGTAATTTATTGTTGCCACTAATCCTAAACTTGTTAACATGAATCCCATGTCTCTTTCTGGAGTAAATTTAGCCAAAAAAAGGAAAGGTCACCTTCAAGAAATTCACAGGAAGTACAAAGAGCTTCTACCGAGTAATAAAATTCCAGTGAACTCACTGGAATATGCCTCACTGGAATATGCATCACTCAAAATATGCAGCTTAATAAGCGCTCAAATTTTCACAATATTTTATGCTACCTAATGATCTATTTCCAATGTTTAATTATTTTTAAGTTTTAACATCTAGAGATATTTTTTCACATTTCTTTGAAATACTTAGTTTTGAGATAACATATTATTGTTAGAGTTTATATTATTCAGCGACAATCCTTGTCCCAGCTTTTAAGATTATGCCATTTGTATTTTTTACCTCCAAACTTTGTACTTCTGTTGACTCTTCAAAGCTGGCATCCTTCAAATGTGTCTCTACGCCTTCATACTGAAACAAATCAACACTGTGAGTACAAAGTATAAATCATTTTAATAAAGATCTATTTATTTATTTATTTAATTTATTTGAAAGGTACAATTACAGAGAGATAAAGAGAGAAACAGAGAGGTTTTCCATCCGTTGGTTCACTCCCCAAATGGGTGCAATGACCAGGCCAAAGCCTGGAGCTAGGAATTCCATCACAGTCTCCCACCAGCTGCAGGGGCCCAAACACTTGGGTCATCTTTGGCTACTATCACAGGTACATTAGCAGGGAGCTGGATCAAAAGTAGAATAGCCAAATCTCAAACAGACACCCATATGGAATGCCAGCGTCACAGGTGGCAGTTTAATCTGCTGCGCTACAACACCAGCCCCAAACTATACTTTTATCCCAACTTTTATCTGGATATGAGGTAATACTTGACAGTAGGGACTCTATTTTAGAGCACTAGAGACTATACCTTGAAAAAGCACCCCCCACCATGAGACTCTGGTCTGAAACTATGATTAAAACTCAGACAGTAACAGTACTCATACAATAACAGTACACTGCAACCCACTTGGCAGAGCATAGAAATGCCTTCAAACGTAAAACAGATAGGCTACACCTGGATTAATGTTAAGATTGTAATTTGTCTATTGTCAAGATTGTAACTGATATTAGGCCTTAGGTCAGCTTGACCCTAATAACCACGTATTCCTCCCTGATCCTAGCAACCATGTATTCTCCCCCCCACACACACACACACCTCGTTTTGGTTTTTGCCTTCATAAACTCTGTTGCTTTGAGCTTCAGGGTCAAGAGTTCTTTAGGGCATGAGCCAGCTCTCCACTGCTGGCAATAAAGGATCATCAAATCTTAACATGTGGTGCTCCTCTGTTTGTACTTGCTCAGGTACAACCGGCAGATGCATGTGAAGCAGACAAAATCTACTTCCACACATATGTTAAATTTACTTGGATTATTTGGCTTTAAGGTCTTCAAATCTGATCACTATTACAAACCAAGCCCCAGTGCTGCTAACCATCGTAAACCACAAGCTCAGGCAATTAATGGCAGAACTTCACAGTAAGACTAAAAAAGTTGTCCAAAATCTGCTTCTTAAGAGAACACAGGTTTACAATTGCTATTAGCATTCTTTACTAAATTTTCTGATGGCAAAAATCCTAATGTATAAAGTATTTTTCAAAGGTTTGTCCAAAAAAGTATATTCACATGTAATCTGTCTGTTATCCTAATAAGAAAATCTCTTCTTTGAGCCTGTTCACTAAACAGAAATCTATGACTAGTCATCAGAAACTTTCACTTATAATTAATAGCACACAAAAAATAACAAAGTAGGGAAAAATAAAAAATAAAATCCTTAAAAGATAGAGATAAATCATCACCAAGTAAAAAATAAGTATAGGGGCCAGCGCTGTGGCATAGCAGGTAAAGCCTCCGCCTGCAGTGCTGGCATCCCATACAGGTACCAGTTCCAAGTTCTTGCTGCTCCACTTCCAATCTAGCTCCCTGCTATGGCCTGGGATAGCAGTAGAAGATGGCCCAAGCCCTTGGGCCCCTGAACTTATGTGGGAAACCCAGAAGAAGCTCCAAGCTCCTGGCTTCAGAACAGCCCCACTCCGGCCATTGTGGCTATTTGGGGGAATGAACCAGCAGACGGAAAACCAACCTCCCTCCTCCCCTCCCTCTCTCTCTAACTCTACCTTTCAAATAAATAAATCAATCTTAAAAAAAAAAAAAAAAAGAAGAAGAAGAAGAAATAAGTATAATAAAATATACAATGCTGTAAGATTTGGCAAAATGCACTTACTCCGATACTTAATTTTTAAAAATGGGGCTAGTATTGTGGAGCAACTGGTTAAATCACCACCTGTGGTGCCAGGATCCCACATGAGCACCAGTTCAAGTACCAGTTTGGATAGGCTCAGCTCTGGCCATTGTGACCACTTAGGGAGTGAACTGGCAAATGGAAGCTCGCTCTCTCTCTTTCTCTCTCTCTCTCAGTCGCTGTCTGTAACTGACTTTCAAATAAATAAATAAAGCTTGGGCTGGCACTGTGGCATAGCAGATAAAGCTGCCACCTGCAGTGCCAGCATCCCATATGGATGCCGATTCAAGTTCCAGCTGCTCCACTTCTGATCCAGCTCCCTGCTATGGCCTGGGAAAGCAGTAGAAGACGGCCCAAGTCCTTGGGCCCCTGCACTCACATCAGAAGACCCAGAGGAGGCTCCCGGCTCCTGGTTTCAGATCGGTGCAGCTCCACCCATTGTGGAAAATTGGGGAATGATCAGTGGATGAGAGACCTCTCTCTGTGTAACTCTTTCAAATAAATAAATAAATTTTTTAAAATAAATAAATAAATCTTAAAGAAGGAGAGGCAGAGTCAGAAAGAGAGACATCGTCCACCCACTGGTTCACTCCCAAATGGCTACAATGTCCAGGGCTGGGATAAGTCAAGGCCAGGAGCCAGGAGCTTCTTCCAGGTTTGCCACATGGGTGCTGGGGTCCAAGCAGTTGGGTCACCTTCTGCTTCTTTCCCAGGCCATCAGCAGGGAGCTGGATCAGAAGTGGAGCAGCTGGACTCAAACCAGTGCCCACATGGAATGCTAGCACTGCAGGCAGATACTTAACCTTCTACACCACAGCACCAGCACCAATAAATAAATCTTTTATTAAAAACATCAGTGTCTTTCCTTCTCTCTGCTTTTCAAATGAATGAATGAATGAATGAATAAGTCTTTTTTATGTGATTAAATTGAAGAAGAGGTTAGTTTTTGGATCAGGCTTCCTACTAATAACAAAAAGAGACTGACAAATTACCACAAAACCAGGATCTGCCTGAAGACCTCTGCAGAGCTACTGAAACAGTAATAATTTAGAAGAAAAAAAAAAAAAAAAGAGGGAATCCTTAGAAAGGTAAGTCTAGGATTTAAGCATCAGTTAAGGTATTGCCTGGCACTGGAGTCCTTGCTCCGATTCTAGCTTCCTGCTAATGTGCACCATGGCAGGCAGCAAGTGATGGCTCAAGTACTAGGGACCTCACTGGGAGAACCAGACTGAGTCCTGGTGTCCTGGCTTCAGACTGGTCAGTGCCAGCTATTGTGGGCATTTGGAGAGTAAAGCAATGAATGGAAGATCTGTCTGTCTGTGTCTGTGTGTCTCTGTCTCTCAAATAAAAATTAAAAAAAAAAAAAAAAACATTTTTTTTAAAAGACCAGTGGATTATGAGGGCCTTAAAAAAAAATAGAGGGCTAACATTGTGGCATAGCAGATACAGCAGTCTGGAGTCCCGGCTGCTCCACTCCCGATCTAGCTCCCTGCTAGTGGCCTAGGAGAACAGTGGGGGATAGCTCAAATGCTTGAGCCCCTGCACTCACATGGGAGACGTGGATGAAGCTCCTGGCTGCTGGCTTCAGCCTGGCTCATCCCTGGCTGTTGCAGCCATCTGGGGATTGAACCAGCAGATGGAAGACCTCCCTCTCTCTCCCTCTTTCAAATAAATGAATAAATCTTTTTTAAAAAATAAAAAAAGGAAATAAATTCCAAAATGTGCCAAAGTAGCTCACACGTTAGGATGGGACCCTGTTAAATGGCTGACTCTTCCAAAAGTGTCTATGTCCTACTACCCAAAATTTCCAGGAGTGCTTAAGTTAAGGATCTTGAGATGGCAAGAGTATCCAGGCTATTCTGGTATGTCCAATTTAATGCTAGTGACCCTTACAAGAGATACGTAAGAGAATCAAAACTAGGAAACAGAGTCATGTGAAAATGGAACCAGAGATTAAGGATGCAGCTATGGGTCAAGGTATGTTTTCAATCTCTAGAACCTAAATGAAGAACAGATTCTCTCTAGGAGCAAGCATAAACAGACTGGCTGATGACTTAATTTAAGCCCATTGATTTCCGACCTCCATTTTTCATTTCTTTCTCTTTTTTTAGGATTTTTTTTAAATATTTATCTTATTTATTTGAAAGAGTTAGAGAGAGAGAGGTCTTCCATCCACTGATTCACTCCCCAAATGGCTGCAATGACTGGAGCTTTTAGGTCTAGCCACACTGGTGCAGGGGCCAAATGACAGGCGATCCTCTGCTGCTTTCCCAGGAGTATTAGCAGGGAGCTGGATCAAAGTGGAGCAGCTGGGACTGGAACCATCACCCATACGGGATGCTGTGCTACAGGCCAAGGCTTTAACCTGATGTGCAACAGCGCCAGACCTTTAAAAATTTATTTACTTATTTGAAAGAGTTACAGAGACAGAAAAGAAAGGGTGAAATCTTCCATCCAGTGGTTCACTCCTCCAAATGACCACAGTGGATAGAACAGGCGAAGCCAAGAGCCAGGAGTTTCATCCAGGGTCTCCCACATAGGTACAAGGGCACAAGCAGGTGGGCCACCTTTTGCTGCTTTCCCAGATGCATAAGTTTGTAGCATTCTGTTACAGAGCAATATGAAACTAATACCAACCAAAATTACAAAAATATATAAATAAAAAGTCTAAACCAGAAACAGACAAATCTTTTGAACTGAGGCTTAACAATTCAACCTCTCATTAAGGTACTCTGATCTCCAAAAAAGAAAAGCCTACAAGTCTTCACAACTGAATTCAAAGAATTAATACCAATACTTCCTTGAATTTTCCCCAATAACAGAGCTAGAGGAAACATTTCTTAACATTTTATGAGGTCAAAATGTTCTTGATATCAAGGCAAAAAAAGACACCAAAAGAAAAATCAATGTATCTGATAGACACCAGTGAAAAAATCCTCAAAATATCAGCAAATTGAATTCAACAACACATCAAAAAGGTTAAACGTCATGATCAAGAGAGACTTACACCTAACATGCAAAGCTAGTTTAACACATGCAAATCAATCAATGGAATGCACCACTTTAACAAAATGAAAAATGAAAACCATATCTCCATGTCAGTTGATGCTCAAAAAGTTCAACATCCTTTCTGGACAAAAGCTCTTTTAACAGCTTCACTATGGAAAGTTTCTCAACACAACAGAGACTACTTAGGAAAACTCCACAGCTAACAGCATAATCAGTGGGGAGAAACTGGTAAAAGGCAAGGATGCTCACTCACTCTCATCACTTCCAGCTAACACAGAATTACTATCAAGAGAAATCAAACAAGAAAAGTAAAATTTATTCAAGTCAGGAAGAAAGGAGCAAAATTATGTTTATTTACAGATAGCATGATCCTCTATATAGAAAACCCCAAAGACACCATCGAAAAACTGTTGGGACTAATAAACTGAGTGAAGTTGCATGACACAAAATCAGCATGGCAAGGGCAGGTTTTTGGCATAGTGGTTAAGATGTCACTTCCGTGGAAAGAACAGGTCATCAAAGAAGGAGGTACCTTTTTCTGAAGGGAGGAGAGAACTTCCACTTTGACTATGACCTTGTCTAAATAAGATCAGAGTCGGCAAACTCATAAGGCCTCCATAGCTTTGGCAACTCATGACTGGAGCACAGGGAGATTACTGATGCCATAAACAAGAGTGCCAATTTGTTAAGTCAACAACAGGAGTCACTGTGCACTTACTCCTCATGTGGGATCTGTCCTTAGCGTGCTGTACATTGAGATTTAATGCTATAACTAGTACTCAAACAGTATTTTTCACTTTGTGTTTCTGTGTGGGTGCAAACTCTTGAAATCTTTACTTAATATATGCTAAATTGATCTTCTGTATATAAAGAGAATTGAAAATGAATCTTGATCTGAATGGAAGGGGAGAGGGAGCGGGAAAGGGGAGGGTTGCAGGTGGGAGGGAAGTTATGGGGGGGAAAAGCCATTGTAATCCATAAGCTGTACTTCAGAAATTTATATTCATTAAATAAAAGTTAAAAAAAAAGATACTCATTAGTCAGGACAACACAAAATGAAACCACAATGAGATATCACCCCTACCACAACGGCTATCTAAGATTTGTTCAGCATTGAAGATGAGGAGCAACAGAAAGCCCATACACTGCAAATAACTATTCACCCAGAACTACCTACATGGAGAAATATAGTTTCCTGACTCTAACAGAAATGCTATTTTCATAACTATCTTACCTCTTTCTCAGCAAGGCTAAATTTTTCAAGTAGTTTACATTTTTCTTCAATTAGTTCAGAAAGTTTTACAGCAAGCTTTTTCTCTCTTCCTAAAAAATAAACATTATCATAAGTTATAAGTTTTTAAATTATACACAAAAATGATGAGATCTAAAATATAAAAAATAGAGCTTACCCACATAAAGCCGGCTTCTAACCTGAAATAGATTTTTAACAAAAATTGCATTAAAGCAAATATACAATAAAGTAAATCTAATTTATTTAACTTCTGCCAATTAAAAAATAACAGGTGGTTTCTGTTGCCTTAGTAGGAATATAACTTAGCCAAGTGTTCTATTTCTAATGAGAAAAACTCTACATATTAAAGTCTCCCTATTGAAGAGTCACATTGTGCACTATCATATTAACAGCTCTGAAACGGCTTTACTGTAAAGATTCCTGCTTCATTTCACTCAGCCCATTGTTCCCTAAATACATTGGCCCTCCAAAAAATTATTCTCAGAAGCCTCTAATTATCTAATATCCAAAATAAAAGTCTGAGAAAAGTTACCATAAGAACATAAACCTGAACTGACTATAAAGAAAACTGGGAAACAGACCTTATTCTTCTTTCATCTTTCTCTTTCTCAAATAATGAAAAAGGAAAAAAAAAATTGTAAGAGCACCATTAGGGCTGAGATAACAAAACCCAGCAGAAAAGATACAAGGGAACTTAATCCACATACAGAAATGTATTTAGATAAAACTAAACAAGAAGAATAAGGTATAATAGAATGGGTACAGATGAAAAGTGAGTGAGTGAACTGAAACATTACTTTGAGAAACTCTCTCAAAAGATAACAGAAAACTAAAGAAACTGAAAAATAGGCCGGCGCCGCGGCTCACTAGGCTAATCCTCCGCCTTGCGGCGCCGGAACACCGGGTTCTAGTCCCGGTTGGGGTGCCGGATTCTGTCCCAGTTGCCCCTCTTCCAGGCCAGCTCTCTGCTGTGGCCCGGGAGTGCAGTGGAGGATGGCCCAAGTGCTTGGGCCCTGCACCCCATGGGAGACCAGGAAAAGCACCTGGCTCCTGACTCCTGCCATCGGATCAGCGCAGTGCACCGGCCGCTGGCCGCGGCGGCCATTGGAGGGTGAACCAACGGCAAAGGAAGACCTTTCTCTCTGTCTCTCTCTCTCACTGTCCACTCTGCCTGTCAAAAAATAAAAAAAATAAAAAAATAAAAAAAAAGAAACTGAAAAATAAAAGATAAGGAAGTCAGAAGTAGAAGGACCAACATCTGAAAAACAGTAGTTCCAAAAAGAGAAAATAATTTTTAAATGGAGAATTTCCCATAAGGTACAAAAAGACAATTCTCACACTAAGAGTCTACAGAAGTCTAATGGATAAAGAAAAAATTTCATACCTAGACACATGATATTGAAAGCAGAGTATCAAATTAAAAGACTCTCAAGGGGCCAGCTTTGTGGTGTAGCAGGTTAAGCTGCCGCCTGTGACACCAGCATCCCATAGGGGCACCAGATGCTCTACTTCAGACCCAGCTTCCTGTTAATGCGCCTGGGAAAGCAGCAGAAGATGATACAAGTGCCTGGGCCCCTGCCACCCATGTAGGAGACCCAGATGAAGCTCCTGGCTCCTGGCTTTAACATGGTGCAGCCTCAGCAGTTAAAGCCATTTGGGGAGCAAGCCGGGAATGGAAAATACCTCTCTCTCTCCTTCCCTCCCTATCTCCTTCTTTCTCTCTCTCCCCTGTAACTCTGCCTTTCAAATAAATAAATCTTAAAAAAAAAAAAAAAAAGAACTCTAAAGTCTCCAGAGAATAATCACATACAAATGAGTAAGAATCATATTGATATGAGACTTTTAAGGAACACTAGATATGAAAAAGACAAGAGAGTAAGTTTCTTTTTGAGAGAGGTCTTCCATCTGCTGGTTCATTCCCCAATTGGCTGCAATGGTCAGAGCTGTGCTGATCTGAAGCCAGGAGCTTCTTCAGGGTCTCTCACATGGATGCAGGGGCCCAAGGGCTTGGGCCACCTTCCACTGCTTTCCCAGGCCACAGCAGAGAGCTGGACTGGAAGTGGAGCAGCAGGGACTAGAACCAGCGCCCATAAGGGATGCCGGCACTGCAGGCAGTGGCTTAACCCGCTATGCCACAGCACCGGCCCCAAGAGAGTAAGGTTTTTAAAATAAGGACAGTGCTTTGGACTGGCCACATATTAGAGGACCTAGGTTCAATCTCCAGCTCCAGCTCCTGCCTCCACTGTCCTATTAATACAGACTCTGGGAGGCAGCAATGATGGTTCAATTAATCGGGCCCTGCCACTCACGTGGACAATTCAGATTGAGTTCCCAGTTCCCAGCTACATTCCAACCTCCCACCACTGTGGGCATTTGGCAAGTGAATCAGCAGATGGGAACTTACTTGCTCATTCTCTTTCCCCCTATCTCTGTCACTCTGCCTCTCAGATAAACGTTTTAAATAAAAAAGAGAAAATAAAAAGTCTAAAACAACCCAAATGCCCAAAACCATAAAATGTATAAACTGGAATATAAATATTATAATGTAGTATTCTAGAGCAGTCAAAATGAAGAAAATTATAGCCTCATTCAAAAATATGGATGAATCTTAACAATAAAGGATTGAGTAAAACCTTTCAAAAGGGGGCCAGCGCCGCGGCTCACCAGGCTAATCCTCCGCCTGCGGTGCTGGCACACCAGGTTCTAGTCCCGGTCGGGGCGCCGGATTCTGTCCCAGTTGCCCCTCTTCCAGGCCAGCTCTCTGCTGTGGCCAGGGAGTGCAGTGGAGAATGGCCCAGGTGCTTGGGCCCTGCACCCCATGGGAGACCAGGAAAAGCACTTGGCTCCTGCCATCGGATCAGTACGGTGCGCCAGCCACAGCGCGCCGGCCGCGGCGGCCATTGGAGGGTGAACCAGCGGCAAAGGAAGACCTTTCTCTCTGTCTCTCTCTCTCACTGTTCACTCTGCCTATCAAAAAAAAAAAAAAAAAAAAAAACTTTCAAAAAGGGGGCCGGCACTGTGGCGTAGCAGATAAAGCCACTGCTTACAGTGCCAGCATCCCATACAACCACTGGTTCATGTCCGGGCTGCTCCACTTCCAATCCAGCTCTCTGCTCCACTTCCAATCCAGCTCTCTGCTACGGCCTAGGAAAGCAGTAGAAGATGGTCCAAGTTGTTGGGCCCCTGCACCATGTGAGAGATCCAGAAGAAGCTCCTGGCTTCGGATTGGTGCAGCTCCGGTTGTTGTGGCCAATTGGGGAGTAAATTAGCAGATGAAAGACCTCTCTCTCTCTCTCTCTCTCTCTCTCTCTCTCTCTCTCTGCCTCTCCTTCTCTCTATGTGTAACTCTTTCAAATAAATAAATCTTAAAAAAAAACTTTCAAAAGATACCATAAAGCTTACCAAGTAAAATTAAATACTAGAAGAATGAGCTAGGGGGTTAAGCTGACATTTCAAATCAGAGTGCCAGTTCCAGTGCTGATTGCTCTGCTTTCAATACAGTTTTTTTTTTTTTTAAGATGTATTTATTTATTTGAAAGGTAGAGTTACAGAGAGAGAGACAGAGACAGAGAGAGCTATCTTCCATCTGCTGGTTTACTCCCCAGATGCTTCTTCCAGGTTTCCCATGTGGGTACAGGGGCCCAAAGACTTGGGCCATCTTCTTTTGCTTTCCCAGACATACTAGCAGGGAGCTGGATCCAAAGTGGAGTGGCCAGAACTTCAACCAGCACCTGGGCCAGCATCATAGATGGCAGCTTAACCTGCTATGCCACAGCACCAACCCCTCAACCCAGTTTCTTGCTAATGTGCCTAAAAGGGCAGTGGATGATGGCCCAAGTGCCTGGGTTCCTACCACTCCTGTGGGAGACCCAGATCAAATTCCTGGCTCTAGCTTTAGCTTGGCCCAGCCCCAGCTGTTGTAGGCATTTGGGCAGTGAACCACAGGTGAAAGCGCTGTTTCTCTCCCTCTGTCTTTCTGACTTTCAAATAAATAAATGAATCTTTTTAAAAATTATATTCTAGACTTTTAAAAGACAAATTTATATGACTCCCCAACAATTGTTTCATTAAAGGCATAGAAGAAATTAACACTGGATCCAGAACAGGATTAACTCTAATAGAGGGAGGCAGGGGGATGAACTGAGGGAGGAATCACCTAAATGTGGTAGCCAATGATTTTGATACCAAGATGTTTATCATACTGTTCAAAACAAACATTGGGGGGAGGGGTGCGGCATGGGGGCAGGGAGGAGGAATTGGTGCAAGTTAAGGTGCCACTTGGTATAACCACATCCCATATCAAAGGGCTGATGTTCAAGTCCTAGCTCCCCTCCTGACTCCAGCTTCCTGCTAAGGTGCACCCTTGAGGACAAAAGTGATGACTCAAGTACTTGGGTCCCTGTCACTCATGTAGGAAACCCAGTTAACTTCCTAGCTCCCAACCACAGCCTGGCCTGGCCCTGGCTGTTGCACACATTTGGGGAGTGAAACAACAGATTAGAGATCTCTTTTTCTCTGACTTTCTCTCTCTCTCTTTTTTTTTTTTTTAAGATTTTTTTTTTCTTTGAAAGGCAGAGTTAGAGAAAGAGAAAGGGAGAGGCAGAGAGGAAAATCTTCCATCTGCTGGTTCACTCCCCAGATGGCTGCAATGGCAGGAGTGCAGCCAGGCCAAAGCCAGGAGCCAAGAGCTTCTTCCAGGTCTCCCACGTGGGTGCAGGGGCCCAAGCATTTGGGTCATTTTCCGCTGCTTTCCCAGGCACACTAGCAGGGAGCTGGATCAGAAGTGGAGCAGCCAGGACTTGAGCCGGTATCCACATAGGATGCCAGCACCGTAGGTTGGTGGCTTTACTTACTATCCACACAGCACTGGCCCCTCTGCCTTTCAAATAAATTTTTAAAAAGAGAGAAAAAGAAGAAAGGAAAAGTAAGATTTTAGTATTAGTAGTATAGAAAACTTCTACAAAAAAATCCTTTCACATTTTTAAGCTTAAAAAAATTCCTCTTAATCCACAGTTTCTAACAGCACATGTTAACATAAGTACTCAGATAACTACAACTTAAAACAACAAATATGTTTTTTATATTACTTGTTCAGCCTAAAGACAGAATGAAGATTTTTTAGCACAGCATGGTTTACTTACTGATCGAAAACTTCTCCACAAAAACAAGAGAACAGCAAAAATTCCAACAACAGTTGCACATATCACCAATTCCCATCGAAACCCATAGGGATTAGGGCCAGGTCTCATATCTTCAGGCAATGTTGCCACAACCTTCAAGACAAAGGAAATTAAGTTCTTAAAATGCACTTTGACAAAAAGTATTGACTACAAACAAAGATACAAATTCATGTGGTCAACTCTGTTACTCTCCTTTTCACGAAAGGGGCTACAGATAACACCAAACAGAAGGCACCACAGGATATTTTTCTGGAAACTTTCAAGCACTCATCACCAAGTGATGAAGAAGTGCAATATAGTGAAATGCGGTGATTTTTTCAAACTGGAAACCTCAAGGGGTGCCCCTAAAGCTTCCAAGGATGAGAACAGGAACAAAGGCCAAAGAAAGAAGCTGAGTGACCTGGGTTCAGGTGCTTTTTTTTTTCCACTAGTTTGAGTTTTATATGTAGAGTATACTGGGTTCCACATAAGATTATCCTACATAAACCGTATCTGAAGCTTTTAAATGGTTTGGGGATTAAGACACCCGCAACCCACAAGCATTACCTGTGTTCAGTTCCCAGCTGTAGCTCCTAACTCCAGCTGGCTGCCAATGCACACTCTAGGCAGTGATGACTCAAGTAACAGTTCCCGCCCACACACAGAAAACTTGGATTTTTATGCCTGGCTCCTGGCTTCAACCTCAGACACAGCAGGCATTTGGGGAGTGAACAAGCAGAGGAGAGTGCTCTCACAGGTTCCTTCTCTCGTTCTCTCTGCCTCTCAAATAAATAAACAAAAACACTTAAATAAAAAAGCTTGAAAACCACTGACAGAAATTTGGGTTAAACTTCTTTTTAAAAAAGATTCTATTTCCTTGAAAGGCAGAGTGACAGAGAAGGAGACACAAAAAAAGAGATCCTCCATCTGTTCCCTAAATGGCCACAACAGATGGGTCTGGACCAGGCCAAAGCCAGAAGCCTGGAACTCCACCCAGTCACCCAAAGGGTAAGCATGGCGCCCAAGCACTTGGGCCATCTTCTGCTGCTTTTCCAGGTGTATTAGCAGGGAGCTGGATCAGAAGTTGGGCAGGCAGGATTCAAATCAGCGTTCCAATAAGGGATACCAGCATCACAGGTGGCAGCTTAAGCTACTATGCCACAATGCCTGCCTTTGCATTTGTTTTTTTGTTTTAAGATTTTATTTATTTACTTGAGAAGCAGAGTTACAAACAGAGAAAGGGAAAGATGCAGAAATTTCTTCCATCCGCTGGTTCATGCCCCAAATGGCCAAAACAGCTGGAGCTGAGCCAATCTGAAGCCAGGAACCAAGAGCTTCTTCCAGGTCTCTCATGCAGGTGCAGGGACCCAAGCAGTTGGACCATCTTCCACTGCTTTCCCAGGCCATTAGAAAAGAGCTGGATTGGAAGTAGAGCAGCCAGGACATGAACCAGTGCCAATACGGGATGCCAGTACTGCAGATAACAGCTTTACCTACCATGCCACAGCAACGGCCCCAAGCCCCTGCGTTTAGATTTTGAATCCCTCCACCCTACCTCTGTGGGTTTCTTCTCTTATCTACAATGGGAATGGTACTATTTGAACACCCAGGTAAAAGAAAGGATAACTCTATCATTTCTCCTTAAAAGACCATGATGCCCTAACTGTAATCTTTCCACATTACTTCTTCCCCCAATAACACAGACCAAGACTTTAACGTTGCTTCTGTATTTCAATTTTCTCTGGGTCAACTCATCACTCACCGTAACTCAACAGGGTTATTCTGTTCTTTGTTACCAAGCCCCAGATGTTACTGGATCACAAAGAAAGAAGAAGGATAGGGGAAAGGAGGAAGGAAATAAAAAAATACCCTTTTTAAGAACAACCTGAAGTATGTTCAGGTTTGATTCTTTCCAAGTTTCAATCTAAAATATCTATAGCAAATCTTCCCTTGTTAGGCTCTTGTCTTGCTAGAAAACACTCTTTACTAATTATTCTCCCCTCCAAAATCTTTTCTGTAACTAATTCCTAAATGTACTCCTTCCAGGTGGCTGTCCGGAGTTCATTAACCTGTACCAACAAAAACCTGATAATACTTTTTTTGCGAGGAGGGGGCCAGAGAGAGAACTGTCAGAACTAGCTCCCATCCACTAGTTCACTCACAAATTCCTGCAATCGCAGGGGCTGGGCAAAGTCAAAGCTGAGCCAGGCCAAAGCCTGGAGCCAAGAACTCAATTCAGGTCTCCCACATGGGTGGCACCTACTGCCTCCTCCGAGGGTATGTATTAGCAGGAAGGTAGAATCATGAGCAGAGCAGGAATCGAACTCAGGCACTCCATTACAGGATGTGGGTATGTCAGTGTCTTAACTGTTACACCGAATGTCCACAACACTGATTATACTAAAAAAAAAAAAAAAAAAAAAATTCCCTGGGGCCAGTTCTGTGGCATAGCAGGTAAAGCCTCCACTTGCGGTGCCGGCATCCCATATGGACACCAGTTCAAATCCCACCTGCTCTTCTTTCAATCCAGCTCTCTGCTATGGCCTGTAAAAGTAGTAGATGGCCCAAGTGCTTGGGCCCCTGTACCTGCATGGGAGACCAGGAAGAAGCACCTGGCTCCTGGCTTTGAATTGGCACAATTCCGGCCATTGCGGCCATTTGACGAGTAAACCAACAGATGAAAGACCTTTCTCTCTGTCTGTAACTCTACCTCTCAAATAAATAAATAAAACTTTTTTAAAAAATCCCTTTTCCCTCTTCTTCCACTTATTCCCACCTGAACTCAGTTACCAATTTATAGACATGTGACATCACTACAGTCAGTGATTAGTTATTTTTGTCCACAAAAGAGGCACTCAATACACAACACTGGAAAAAAAGAAGCTTTCAGGGCTGGCCCTGTGGCCTAGTAGGTTAAGCCTCCACCTGTGACACTGGCATCCCATATTCATTCTAATTCAAGACCTTGCTGGTCCACTTTCAACCCAGCTCCCTGCTAATGCACCTGGAAAAGCAGAAGATGGCCCAAGTCTTTGGGCAACTTCACCCACCTGGGAGACCAGGAAGAAGCTCCAGCCTCCTGGCTTCAACTTGGCCCACCTCCGGCCAATGTGACCATTTGCAGAGTGAACCAGCAGATGGAAGATCTCTCTCTCTCTCTCTCTCTCTCTCTCTCTCTCTTTCTCCTCCCTCTCTGTAACTCTGCTCTTCAAATAAATAAAAAAAATAGGGACGGCACTGTGGCACAGCAGGTTAACACCCTGGCCTGAAGTGCCAGCATCCCATATGGGAGCAGGTTCTAGTGCCGGTTGCTCCACTTCCAATCCAGCTCTCTCCAATGGCCTGGGAAAGCAGTAGAAGATGGCCCAAGTCCTTGGGCCTTGCACCCACATGGGAGACCTGGAAGAAGCTCCTGGCTCCTGGCTTCAGATCGGCACAGCTCCGGCCATTGAAGCCAACTGAGGAGCGAACCATCAGACAGAAGACCTCTCTCTCTCTCTCTCTCTGCCTCTCCTCTCTCTGTGTAACTCTGACTTTCAAATAAATAAATAAATCTTTTTTAAAAATTAAATAAAAATAAATCTTAAAAAAAGAAACAAGTTTTTTTTTCAGTTTACATATTCTCAAAGAACCTTATTTTCGATTCATTTATTCAAAATGTAAAGTAAAACCATCTCAAGAATCTAAAAATCGGGGCCGGCATTGTGGCACAGTGGGTTAACACCCTGGTCTGAAGTGTCGGCATCCCATATGGGCGCTGGTTCAAAATCCAGCTGCTCCACTTCCAATCCAGCTCTCTGCTATGGCCTAGGAAAGCAGTCCTTTGGCCCCTGCACCCACATGGGAGACTTTCAAATAAATAAATAAATCTTAAAAAAAAAAGTTACAGAGGGTACCTGCTGCAGCATAACACCTGCCCTGTATTATGCTTTCATTATTAATATGCATTATGTTTATTCAAGGCTAGAGTAAAAACCATTTAATATCAGTGTATTTTGTCAAATTGATAAGATGCCTAGTCTTTTTTTTTTTAAGATTTATTTATTTGAAAGGCAGAGTTACAGAGATGCAGAGGCAGAGAGAGAGAGAGAGAGAGAGAGAAAGAGAGAGAAGTCTTCTATCCACTGATTCACTCCCCAAACAGTTGCAACAGCCAGAGCTGGGCCAATCAGAAGCCAGGAGCCTGGAACTTCCTCTGGGTCTTCCCACATGGGTGCAGGGGCCCAAGGACTTGGGCCATCTTCTACTGCTTTTCCAGGCCACAGCAGAGAGCTGGATCAGAAGTGGAACAGCCAGGACTTGAACCAGCACCCATATGGGATGCCGGCACTGCAGGCAGCGGCTTTACCCACTATGCCACAGCACCAGCCCCAACTCTTTCAAATAAATAAATAATTTAAAAAAAGCAAGTTGATGAAAATTATTTTTAGTGTGCTTCATAATTTTCTTAGGTCTTTTTATTTTACATAATTGTAAACCGGTCAACAATTTTAAAAAAATTATTCCTTTAAAAAGAGATCAAAAGAGCTTTGGATGCAAATGGCCTAGAAGGATCCAAAGCATAATTAGAATTCAGTCTAAATAAAATAAAATATGATATGCAAAATGAATAACTATCTTATAAGGAGCTTTTTAATATTCATTATCTATTTACTGACTCTGTATTTACTAATAAATTATGTTCCAGACACTCTTTTGGCATTTTCTTTTTCATTATACCAATTTTTTTAAAGATTTATTTATTTTATTTCAAAGGCAGAGTTACAGAAAGAGAAAGGGAAAGAGAGAAAGAGAGAGATCTTCTACCTGCTGATTCATTTCCCAAACAGCCACAATGGACAGAGCTGGGCCAGACTGAAACCAGGAGCCAGGAGCTTCTTTGAGGTCTCCCACGCAGATGGCAGGGGCCCAGGCACTTGCTTATCTTCTGTTGCTTTCCTAGGCACATTAGCAGGGAGCTGGATCAGAAGTGGAACAGCCAGAAATCAAAATGATGCCCGTTTTATGGGATGCTGGCACTGCAGGCAGCAGCTTAACCAGACACACCAAAGTGCCGGCCCCACATTTTATCAATTTTCATGTTTTAATTGCCACCATAACGATAACTCTTAAAT